CCTTCAGATTACCGACCAAAAGCTTGCGGTTTAACATCCTGTGGTTAACCAGCCTGCGGATTAACAGGCGGAAACGATAGAGATCTACTGACATAAGCCGTAAGACAATGAACGAAGAGATTACTAGCCAAAATATCACCAGCTTGAGGGGGACTGTGGATAACCTGCTAGAGACTGACAGCTTTTACATACCTTGGGATCTCCAGACTCTGTGCCCAGAAAGTAATGAACCAGGAAATTATCAGGCAAGAAATTAACAGACAAGGGTTGACCAGCCTTTGGAATAACAGCTTAGAGACTATCAGCCCGGAAACATTATTACCAGTGCGTTACACACCTGTACACATCCAGCCGGGATATCATCAGTCACAAGATGAAGAACCTCGACTTTAACAGCCGGTGGATTACCAACTTGAACAAAAGAACAGTCAGTCAATCACAGATTTACAGTGTGGAGACTAAACTTCTTCAGACAACCAATACGTGTAGATTATCACAGTTTTGATCCCCAGCTTTTTAGTTACCAGTCTAGGTTCCTTGTGGCTATGTCTGCCCAGATATCAACATGTCGGCCACCAATCAGTAGACTAAATGTACCGGCCTGGAGATTACAGCTTGGAATGTTACACTCAAACGATATCCACACCATGGGAATAATCTAGGTCTATATGTACATCCTAGCATAACCCCAACACACGGTCGTGCGCACAATGAGCAAAACGTCATTAATGTTGTAACCTCTTGTTACAATAACGTTTTTGTTCAACAGTATAACGAAACGGAACTAAGACCCTCAAGGAACTAAATACATCTCAAAGACAGGGATGTCAGCTCTGCCAAACCTATCCATAACTTTATCTTGACAAAACGTAACGTTTATATTACTTTTCGATAAGTTAATAAAGAGGTGAAAAGGTACGCACTCGACGTTCAAGCAAAGGCTTCTGTTCTGTCCAGCGATTCAATAAAGAAACTTCCACGATGTTAGCCACAATAAATTCCATTTCTATGCCTACATGCAGTCTATGGTTATGTAATATAAACATTATAATAAGTTTGAGTCGGCACGCACAACTATAAATCTGATTGACTAACGCTGCAGTTTTTCTTGTATGACAGAATTGGCCCTTAATCACATGGGAGCCATGTTGAATCAAAAGCGAGGTTAATTTTAGATTTGGGGAACCGAGAATACAAATGAAAGCAATGAAAGAATATTTCATTACATGTAAATGTTTATGCCAAGCTGAAATTTCTGATTAACTACATGTGTACGCCACTGTGTACGCCACAATTTAAACAAATTTTAAAGTGAGGCATCATCGGAACCCAAATAGTCTGGCACCACCACATTTAACAAATTTCACTAAGATAAAATAAAGAAAGATTCCGGGAACACGATCAAACATGGCTTCCCAATGAATAAGGTTCCACTGCTGTCCAAAAAATCATAAATGTACAACTTTTCTTATGCTTACAAATATTAAGTAATTTTTTAAATAACAATTCAAGACTGATGCACATATACATGATAACGTAAGCCTACATATACTTTAGATACTTTGGAAAAAAAACTATTCAATGGAAATATTAATATGAAATTCTGATAAATTATTTGTGGGTATCAACACAATTTGTTCTGTATCCACAACATGGTTGCTATATAATTCTTTTCACGAGTCACAACAAACACTGTTATAACAAATATACTGTTGTATGAAGTAAAATTCTGAAGTTCCATGTCTCTTGAATTTTTTTTTTCTTATTAAATAACAAGGCTCTATTGTACGTGCTATGCCTGCAGGTGACCGGTTCTAGCAACCTTGTCATAATGAGCAACCACTTCTCAGTTAAAAGTCAACCACACTTAGGTAAAAAGAAATTCATTCCAACCTTACACTCTCATTGAAGATTTGTGCAAACAGAAAGAAACCAGCCTGGTAAAACAAGAATTTACAGGAAATGGGTGCCGGATTCTTCACTGCTGTGACAGTCAAATTTTCAATGGTGACAAATATTAATAGGCTTGATAAGAGATTAAGCACATTTTGATAAAATTTAAGAGGCTAAGTGATTAACACAAACCTGACCGTGTCTCTTTGGCCATCTGGCAAGGGCAATAGATGCCTTTGAGATAAGAATATTTGCTTTCGTTTCATTTGGACTCAATTGGATAAAGTGATGGCGTGGAAGGAGGCATGTGATCAAACAGTTGACAGGTTCAAAGTGTGTTCGATACAGAGAATTATCAGCTCTCTCAAATTAAATGAATAGAAAACTGTCACTGTGGGTGGAAAATGGAGGATAAACCCAATGTAGAAAACTTGTAAAAATGAGTGACAATCAACGTAGAAAAAAAACAAAGATAGCTTCCAGGATAAAACAGAACAGCAAAAAAGGTGCAGGTCAAGTTTGGCGTCTGCAAGTGTCTGTCCTAATGAAGTTACATGTATGTGCACCTATCAAAATGTGCTTTGTATAATGTCACTGTATTTGTATCCTTTTTTCACGGCTTACCCAAAATAACTTCTTCGGAAATCTTGACCAACTTTGGTACTTGATCAGACTGCAACAAGACACTTCTCCTTAGTATGAGAACTGCACTCAGGACATTTCTGAAACGCCTGTGGAGGGCAAGAAAATACCAGGAACATGACCAACCTTGTAGACATTCACCTGTGGCTGGGCAGAACACAATCATTTCCGCTGGTGGAAGCTTGAAGGAAATCAAATGTGTGTGCCATGCTATCAGATGTAACACGTGTTGGTGAGGGCGCTGCACTTATCAGCCCTCAAGCAGTCTCAGAGCCAATCCAAGAAAACAAGGATGGATCGAGGGAGGGGCCATGGCCCCCTAAAAGGAGCCATTTTTTTTTTAATTTGAGATATATCCTGGGCTATTTCTTCGGTTTAATATTTTTGTAAAATATATTTACTGCTTCTAATGTTGAATAATTTGTACTGAAATCGGAATATTCACCAAAACTCTAATAATGGAAACTATGTGGCAAAGACAGAGCAGGCCGACACACATACCATTTCATTTGGCGTGACTGGAGTTTGCTGTCTCCTTGAGAAATGACTGCTCAGCCTTTGCCAGGGGCTTCTTTGAAGAATTCTCTATGCGTCTGGAACAAGACGCTCTACTCAGAGAGACATCAGGTGCTGTCTGTATGTCTGTGTTTGTCGTCTGGTTGCACTTGCTGTCCATGAACTCAGCTACTGGTTCTTGGATCTTTTTGCAGCTGTTCCTTTTGCTCAGCTTTACTTTCCTTGGTTTTGAAGTTGCTGCATGCTGTGAGCAGTCCACAGGTTGATCTGAAGGAGCAGGGCTTATTTTAGACTCCAAGTTCAATTTTGAGGACTTCATCAATTTTTCAGGGGAGTTTCACCTTTTCTGAAATTGACACCTAACTGGTCACCATCTGTATCTCCAGCCTTTTTGGGATTGAACTTCAAGTGTTTGCCATCAGGTTGCTTTGAAGTCAGTTTCTCAAATCTCCTGTCATCACCCTCACATATTTTCTTGTGTCTGTTTTCTAAAAGGTTATCCGCTTCTCGCTTCCTGCTTAATTTTCCTGGACTCATGTCTGATTTATTCCTTTTACTCGACTTGAGTTGGGATGGTGACTGAAAATCATCCTGTGAGCTACTTGATTTCACCTTGGAAGAGGGTTTAAATATGTTGCTTCTTGGGCTGAAATTGTTGCAGTTCTTCTGAACTACCTGACAGTGGCTGTCTTTCCCTCCTACTTCTCTCTGAGACCTGGTATTCTCAATCTTCAGACTCCCTCTGTTGCTCCTTCCTTCCAGGGCTCCTAAATCACTGAGGGTCCGTTTCACTTCATCAACCATCTTCTGAATTCTCCACCTTTTGGATCCTTGCGCAACAGGTGGATCAGCCTTTGGCCGACTGCATGAATTATCTGGTTCTTCTCTAGCTGATGGGGCTGGTTCTACTTGAGAGGTTGCTCCTCCTATACTCGGTCCTGGCAAATCCTCTAACAAAGAGGCTGTTCTTTGATCTTTATCTGTAAATCCTTTGGTTTCGGTTTTGTTTTCGTGGGCCTCTTCAGATTTTCCCATCAAAGGGTTAGATGAGCTAAAAGCAGCATCAAAGAGCTCGTCACTGGCATTTAGAACAGGATCTTCATCTGTGCTGGATTCCAAGGACATTGGTTCCTCAGCATCTTCTTCTTGGGAGTCTTCGAATTCTACCTTTGGCTCTTCGGAGAAACAGGGAGCATCCTCAGACAGACTGCCTCCTGGTTTGCTTTTGGAATCCTGTCTTTGTGAATCTGCATTTCTTATTTTCTTAGAGTCAGAGCTTCTGACATCTCTGAACGGATCTCCAGTAGAATTCTTGACTGTATCCCTATCGTCTACAGATGGCTTCTCCCTTTCTTTGCAATCACCTGAGTTTTCTCCTTGATGCACTTTTAACCTTGACCTTTCCAGTTGTTGTCTGACACAATTTGGCTTGCTTTCAGGTGGTTTTGTGAGGGTAATGGACACATCTGCCGAGGGAACACCTATATCTTGAACTTCACAAGAGCTGGTCTTGACCTTCTTTGCTTCAAGCTCTGAGGTATTGCTCGGTATGCTTTTTGAATCTCCTTTCACAGAATCAGCAGATGGGTCCACCTTTGATTTGGCAGTAAAACTGTCCACGTTGTTCTCGACACAAGTTGATGATGCCGTTTTGTTCAAGTTAGCCAAGGATTCAGCAGAGAGATCAGATTCTGATGCAGGAGGGACAAATGATGACTTTGACACTGTGTCCTCTCTAGGAAGACTTTTCCTTGGTACTTCTTCACTAAGTTCTAGAGGGCAAGCAGCTCTGTCAGGTCCAGTTGTGTTATTGCTGATACCCGCTGATGACAGATCAAAGCTGTCTGGCTTGTGCCTCTTAGTAGGGTTAGCAGCTTTGCTGATAATCACGCCTTTGCATGAAAGTGGCCCATTCTGTAGGCGATTTTGCTCTGGTGGACCCGACTTACTTCGATCAACTGGCAACAAAAAAGAAGCCAAACTTTTTCAGACAAATCCCAAGAAATATAGGTTAAGACAGGCCCGTAACTGGGGGGGGGGGTGCATCCGCACCCCCACCCCATGTGACTAAGTCCGCTTTTGAGGCAAGAAAAGATTTTGAGCGATAGTAGAACGTTTTGCTCAGTATTGTGGTTCAGTATTTTTCACCTCAGTCAATCCCTCTTCGGGAGTTTACTTGTAACCCCTAAAACAATTGGTACAACCTCATGAATCCTACTAGCTCCCAAATGAAAAAGCAAAAGATCTATGATTGGTCTGCTTGTTGAGGATTCGCACCCCCCCACACACAAAAGTCCTAGTTACGGGTCTGTAAGATATGACCTTTACTTAAGAAAATGAGCATTTCCCAAAATTGGATGAAACCATCTATCAAATAAACTTGCAAATTAGCCAGCTGAGGCTTTGTGTTATTGGCAACCACTACAGAAGCAACACTCTTACTTGACGTGGAAGGGGTGAACGGTTTCTGCTTCTCTAGTTTCTTTGGAGGGATGCTGTGCTCTGGTTTGTATCCGCATCCCTGCCCAGTAAGATTAATGCAGATGGTGTGGAACTGCTTCTTGTGATGAGGGCGAGCGAAGGTGTAGAAATCTATGAGCAGAGACAGAAGCAAGCTCTTAATCAAGAGTCTGTACTCAGGATACTCAGGATGACATTCAGTGGTCGAGAGACAAGTGACTCATTATCAATTTTATTGAGGTAATGTGCACAGCCTGCACAGCAGGGGCTCAGGAAGTGGTTTCTTCTAACCAAATCAATGGAAACAGGGGCAACTTCAAGAAGTGGCTTAAGATTAATATAAGTAGGTTGGCAAAAGCTTCGAAATAGTAATTTCCAGTCCAAACGAACTCCAATTTCAAGGTGTGGCTGATTAAATGTACATCTGTTTATTTGTAAGCACTGATTTACAATTTCTACACAGTGCGAGGCAAGGGATCAGAATCTGGGATGTCTCTGGGACAGATTGAAACATTCATTAGTGATGATGGGGGATGCACGGTCTTAGAGGCGGTAGGAATGGGTAGGGCATCTCTCCAATTTAAGCTAAATAAAGTCGCCAAATTTACTTCTAAAGAGGGGAAATTTGGACTCGTCTTCTGTGAAGAGATCTGCGATGCCTGCAACCATTTCTCCAAAGTTGTCCGTCTGTTGAGGATTCAAAGCAAAAATGGGTCACGTCTGAATATCAGTCATCTTAAGAGTACAACATGATCAAAAGTAATCTGCCTCCTTTTTAACTTGTCTGATGAAAATTGTAGTCAGAAGAAGATGGAATATTTATGAAAGCTCAGCTCAAAGAAACAGGTTTAGAGAAAAAAAGGTTAATGACACTTTTCGTCCTACCTTTTTATATGTCTGCATGATGGACGAAAATGTCTTGTACGAATCTTGACTTAGTGTCTTTTTAACCTGCAGAGCGGACATCACAGTCAAGTGAGACTTAATACTCAAATCATGTGATCCTGTTGGAAGAATGTTTTTGGAAGGGATAGCAGGTGGGTGTAACGTTTGAGTAATTTCTTACCTGAGCAATGTAGTCTTGAGCCGATGCCATGCTTGGATTGGCTCCTCTATCCTTCCTCTCCTGCTTGCTAGAGGCAGTTGGCGGGGGAAGTCCAGCAGTATTGCCCACTGAGTCTAAACCATTTTGCTGTTTCTGTCAAGAGGACAAGTGGAGGATGGAAAAAGAGAGGATTTAAGAAAGCACTGAGGTAGGTTCTTCGCTTTCTGGAGAACAGCAGAACGATAGTGTCTCACTTTCTACTGTGGCAGCATCTTCGAGAATTTATTGAGACCTGAATCCAAGAGATGTCGAGAGACTGGTAGGGTCAACAGTTTACCTCAACAGGGCTCCATACAATGTGTTGAGATCAAAGGTCTTCTAAGCCATTCATGAGCCTGCTGAGTTTACTTCTGTTTGGTGAATGCCACAACTTAAACCTAATTTTAATCTTTGTTGATGATCCTGAAATCCTAGTCTAGAGCTTTGAGGTCAGGGCTTCAGATCATCCTTTACTGGGTCATGATCCAAATGAAACAAAGAAAGCACTCCCTGGACAATCCATCCTGAATTTTTTCTCATCTTAAAACACACTGAAGGAAAAATGAACTGGCTACCAGTTCTACCAGTTTGTATATGATTCAATGAATCAATGAAGCAACATTACGCCAATTCTTACAATGATGATCTTTTTCTTCTTCTGCTGGTCCAGTCGTTTTGACAGCCTGGCCTCCTGACTAGTCGGTTTGTTGATTCTCTGGGAAAGGAAGCCATCATCGTCATCTTCTGGTGTGTTCTGTTTGGAGAGAGATGAGTGACAGATTGAGGGGAACACAGGGAGTTGAAGTGAGTGTATCCCCACAGTTTGACTTGGTCTATGTCTATTAAAACTGTTGATATTTTCGCTGTGAATTCATAAAATCACTTTATTTATACCGGGACAAAACATCTCACTACGACTAAGCTACCCACTTGCTGCTGGGGAACCCCGTTTTGAGCATCACGGATTTATATGCAGAGCTGGGTGCCCAGAATGGGACAAAAGAGCTGGTCCGTGTAACAAAAGACCGTACTCGGAACAAAAGACCTGCTACTGGGGTTTGGTATCATTTTCGGCTTGCATTTTTCGAAGGTAATCCGTCACAGTTTTTAAACAAACAGTATACCACTGTTTTGGGCATAGCACGGCAGTGGATTAGCACCGTGGACTAGTGCACCAGGGCCCCATTGATGAGCGACACAGCACTGCTGCATGCTAATCCATCCACGTTTGAAAAGACAGGCCTGGCTGAAATACTCAGGAGTCAATGGAGGTTGCCTGTCAGCTTAGATTAGCCACCAAACAGTCATTCATGTGGGTGTAAACATCCGTTAAATGAAATGATGAATTTTTGAAGAATTTTGAAAACTGAAAATCTTGAAGATCTCCTGTATGTGTGCACTGCATTTTTAAAAGCACCCGGCAGCAAGTGGTTAAAGCAAAAATTACTTAGAAAAAAAAAGCAGTCACATCATTAATGCAATGAATACAATCTCTAGCGCCACATATGCTTAGTGTAAACAATAAGGCTTACAAAATGCTTAACAGCCAACATGCAAATCTTTAGCATTTCAATGCTGAAAAATTGGGACCTAGAGTGGCATTTACTGACCTCGACACTGCTGAGAGCATTGAGTAGACCCACTCCCTTCTTGGCTTGCTTGGGACGCGAGTCCTCATACATTATCTTCAACTGTGCTTCAGACACGTGACCTACAAAGACATGCAAGTGTTCCGGATCATTTCTAAGCAAGGCTAGGTCCTTTGTGACACAGAATATCTCATTTCTGACTAAGATGCTGGTGAGAGAAAACGACAAGGATCTATGCTTACTTCCGTCATGGTTCCTCTTCAGACTTGGGACATGGGTGTCGACATGCTTGGCTTTAATGACTGGTCCGGCTGATGATAATGATGTTGTTGGAAGAGCTTGCTGCTGGCACTGGTCTTGGTCGATCCGAACTGGGACTGAAGATCGGACTTGCTTGGGTTGAGGTTTAGGCATCTAGGATTGAAGATTTCCCACATTGGAGAACAGCCATTGCTTTAGCTGGATTACCAAAATCAGTTTACTCAAATGAATCAAAAGGTTGAGCCTGAGAAGATAATTTACCGTTCTCTCTGTCTCCTTGAAGAAATTCGTCAGATCCCTCACACCTTTCCCAAACTGGTCGTAGATGTTGACGTAGGGACGGACCCATGAGGGCAGCTGGTTCCGTGCATCCCAGTTAGAGAACCTGATCGTCAAATATTGTTTACACCGTGATCAACCATTACCACATCTCTTGATGAAATCACAGAAGAGAGCATGACATTTGAACCACCATCATAGGGGAAAATGAACACTGAACTAGTCACCTTGTATCACAGAGTAATATAGCACCAAAGTCTTCCTTGTGTCGTATGACCCTGCCAATGGCTTGATTGACGGCTCGGGATGCTTGCTGACGGTACCACTCCTGCCCACTTAGAGACTATGCTCAAAAGAAAAGAATTAAACTTTTTGGCCTCAAAACAGCCCATTTAAAATGACATAATGCCCTACTTTTGGACCATATTTTGGTTGTAACTGTGGTTCTGTGGGGTTGGAAATTATCAAAATATTGGCTTTTCAAGATTGACTTTTCATGATTACCTGCCCCCTGGACCATGATAACCAATCTGTTTATGAACCCTAAATCATGAAAAACCGAACATGTTACTGTGTAAATTTTTAACGTGGAATTTGCCTTCACACGGATGCATAATTCTCAGAGTTGTCCCGGAGCTTGTGAAAAATTCACAAGCTTACTTGGGTGGGACTTGAACCCACGGCCTCCTGCTTACTAGTGCAGGTGTCTTAACCACTTGACCACCGAGCTTGCTGGGGTCAGCTGGTCAGCATGTCGGATGTAGCAGTAGGTACTGCAGTCTCAATGATTCTATGTGATGTATAATAAACCCCGGGGTTAGAGCTACGGTTGCATTAACTCCAGTGAACATGCCAAGTACATCAAATGGTCTTAAGATAATAGCCTGAGAGGAAAATCGGGATATTTCATTTGACAACAGGAAAGACTAGCGTTACGATCTTACGCCAGGATTTCTTCGCTTTGTCTCATCCAGATACTGCATCTTCAGGACGACACGAGGGTCCATTCTGGGTGGGAAGGGGAGCCCTGTGATGACCACAGCTCTGCCGTTGATATCAGCAAAATCTAAACCCTCAGATACCTGAATATTGGAGAAACGGATGACGAGGAGCAGTAGGTTGAAGATGATTGGCAGAGATCAGAAAGAAAAGGGGCTTACAATGTGAAGAAACAATGTAAAAAATAACAGAAAATGATGAACAATTCTTTCTACTTGAGGATGGCTCGCCAAACACAACAGCGACAACTAATCTCATCCCAATACCTCATTTTCAAACTGTCTTTGAAGGCTCTTTTCATTGGAGTTGCCTCATAGCACAGCATTTATCTTTCAAGTTCCAAATTTGAAGCACCCAGTTCCTGGACTTACCTTCCCTCTGCAAACGGCAAAGAAACAAGCACCATTTAGCTTGGGGTCGTTGATCTTCTCGTAGAAGGACTCAATCGTCTGGGAAAAAACCAAACATCAAGCACATCAATCCAACTTTAGGCTGAGAGCACTGGACTGTCAGCACAGGGCAAGTTATCCTTGTGATTGAAGTATTGATCAATTAGGTCTGTCTGTTGATGGTATTTTGAAACAGAACAATCAGATTCAATATCCACAAGCCTGGATTGCTTTTTTTAACAAGTGAGGATCTGTCCTCGAAGAGAGAGAACAAACACCGTACCTCCTCACTAGCCAGGAAATATTCAATGTTTGGTCTGCCTTGGTAACGGTGAAGAGCTGACCAAATGCAAACACCGCACAAACGGAAATGGCAATCTTGATAGAACATGAATTTTTTCGGAGTGATGAAGGGTAGAGTGGATGGGGGGAAAATCTGCAGTATTGACGCACCTCTATAAAAATGACCTTGCCCTTGGGTTCTACAAAGACTTCCTTGTACTGAGTGATACGTTGCTTTATACCTGCTTCCTATGAAAAAAAAAGAAAAAAGAAGTATTGAAATGATCTCAATTGTCCAAAAAATTATCACAAATGTCTCAAAAATGATTTTAGACGGACTAAAAAACTGAGAATCGCTGAATAAACAACCAGAAAGAAAAATCTTCATTGTGTTTACTTCCAGTTTAAAAGAACCTCTCACCTGCCATTGTTCAAGAGCATGGTTCATCACGGGATATGATGGGAAAAATACCAGAAGACCATTGGGTACCAGACGTGAAAAGTTCACTGTGAACAGAATGGCAGAAAGAATGGTAAGTCATCTCTAAGCTCAAGGATTGTAATGGAATGGACATCGATTCTACTTGCCAGCGTAAGTGGGATTCGAACCTGGGCCACAGAGGGCGCAAGGCTAACTTAGTCAGTAGCACCATCCTGATAACCTCAACTCATAACATGACATGATGTAAACCCAATGCCTTAGTACCAGTTAATAATTACTCAGAACACAAGTGATAGGCTTGGGATCCTTTGTGGTACCTTGACAACAGCTCTACCAAAGACTATCTATGACTGCAGAGACCAAGTATTTCTGTTCCTCACCGATGGCGTTGCCCAGTGACATGACATAGTCTCGGTTGAAGCGTGTGTTGTAAGAGGAGTTGAGGACCGTGCCGTCGGGCCCTTTGGTCATGACAGCCACCGTCATCTGGTGTTTAGAGATCACATGAGGGTTCTCCAGCTGAATGGGGAAATCACTGGATTGGATGTTGCATAAAAATCTGTCAGTTAAGTCAAGACAAAATCTTCATTTCCCAAAGCTTAATCTTTTTGATAAAGAATCCAGGAAGAGGAAAATCAATTTGAAATGAGAGACTCGACTCACATTTGGAGCTCCGACTTGAAGGAGTTCAGAGGGGATAACGTCCCACTTGTCAAGATGATGCTACGGACTCCCTGAGACACCAGATCCTTCATGCTGAATCCAGGACTGAAACACCAGTAGCTCAAGGTATAGCCTGGGGGAAAGTGGGTTAGATGGAGAGAGATAATTCAGCGCTAAGAGAATTGGAGGAGATGACTAGAGATGGAGCTGTGGGAAGCTTGTACATGAGAGAATCATCGGGAAAGTGGGTTGGCTCTGACAAATTTATGGTAGGTTGGTACACTGTCCAATGCAATGTACACTATTGAAGATTCTACCACTGCAAGGGGACTTCCATCCAGAAAGACGGAGAACAAAATCTCTACCTTGCTTCTTGGCTTTCGCTGCATTGCTGCTGGTCCACAGATCTGTACGGCCGGCCTTCTTCTGAGGTGCGGAGGCTCGGATGTGGACCTGAGACACAGAGAGAAATCTGAGCTAATGATGCTTACTGACTGCGGTGGGATTCGAACTTGTGACTGCTTACAATAATGAACTGATGCTCTACCAACTGAGCCATCCTGCCCTAGTTAGCTATTCCCATTGTTTTAATCTCTTTGTTTGGAGAGATGACATCACTTCAAAGGGTGCCCGTTTTTGTCCTGGTTCATTCCTTTTTTTCTTTTTCTTTAACTTCAACTGAAATTAAAGCGGCGCAGAAAACAGCTGGGAAAGCAACGCCACATTTCAGATCCCCTGATTTAAATAACTACGACTTGATTCAATTTCCATTTTTGAATGTGGATTGCTACACATACCTTGTAGCACCTGCTAGCTTCTGAGACCGTCCCTGAAGGAGTGTCTCTGTTGAAGACAATCTGTTGGAAAAAGTATTTAAAAAAAGAGGTTGCGGAATACTTGCAATGCATCTACAGGTTTGCTCAGCACGGAGGCATTTCTTGATAACGTCTTTGCATAACCACTTGCTGCCGGGTGGAATTCGAAGTTGCATGACGTAAAACTGATTTTCAAGATTTTCTGTTTTCAAAATTCTTTAAAAAATCATAACTTCATTTACTGGACGCTTACACCCACATGAATGGCTCTCTGGTGGCTACTCTAGTCTGACAGACAACATCTATTGATGCCCGAGTAGTTCAGCCAGGCCTGCCGCCTGGTAAAAAGAGCCCAGATTGTGCGGTGTTACATAAGTTTCTTTTGTTCCTGAAACTGGCACAGTGCGCAGCTTGCAGTGAGACTGCATCACTCATCACTGGAACGCTGGAGCGCTTTTGTCCCCGGTGGTAATCCGCTCATGCTTAACGCAACAGTGGTATAATCTTTCAAAACAATGACAGATTTCCTCCTCTATTGACAACTGAAAAATGTTGGCAATTCCCAGCAGCTTGGTCTTTTGTTCCAAGTACGGTCTTTTGTTATAAGGCATAATACCTCTTTTGTCCGGTTTCGGGCTCCCCGGTTTCGTGTATAAAGCCTAGGTGCCCGAAACCGGGCTCCCCAGTAGCATATGATTAATTGAACTACATGGCGTTATGTGAATATTTTGGAGGGGGGAATAGTGTGAATAAATGGTAAATGATTACTTCTATTATAAGAAACGATCTACTGCATCTTAGGTGCACTCACATTAATGATGTCACAGAATTTCTGTAAGCCAGCTGCTTTGTTGTGGAATATCGTGGAACCTGTAACGATCAAAGAATTGTTTACCCTGACATCTAGGAAGTAGACTCTAACAACAGCATCGGTTTCATAAAATTGAAATGAGAAAAAAATTACAGACTACCAGTGACTGTTTGAAAACTGGAAGGACATAAAATATAGGATAAAATATATCCCTCCTGGCATAAGGTTGAAAACTGATTGCAACTGAAAAATTGTCTTTCAGAAATTAGATCTGACCCGCATGTTTTATTCGCTGAAGGGTTAATGATTTGAAAAAATTGATGTCAAAGTTCATACTTCACTACACAAACTATTGCCAAAGCTGGCGATCTTTGGGGTAGTCTTGACGAAAGATAACAATTTTGATGACATTCTAATGAAAAAAAAATGGACAACTTAGGTACTGACTCGTGGTGAGATGCGAGACCATCTTCTCCAGGAGTTGTAGGAGCTCCACCTTGGTCTCAAAAGTGATGTGTACCTTGGCAAACAACTCGTAGATGAAGCTGCAGACGGGAAAAAGAATCTCAGTGGTGAACTATTAAAGATTATACACTCCAGACATAGACAGCATTGATCTGCAAATTACAGGGTTGGGATTGGTTTGAAAGGTTTGATGAATGGGATAGATTGATACACCTACCTGCCGGGCTTGGTGATGCCTGCCTCCGGTGGGTTCATACCGTTTATTTCATTCTCAAGATCCAGAAACAACTCTGATGGGAAAACAGAGAGATGACAGAGTCGGTCACTGTCACTGTCACAGCAAAACACAATGGCACTATGACAGTAGTTAGATCTGTTAATAAGGATTCACTTACTCTTCAAAGTTGCTAGCGCTGATGTGTCAAATTCCCCCTCTGAAATGAAAAGGACAAACATTATTAAAATTTTGGGGTACCCGGGTATTGAGCAAAATTTGAAGAATGCTTCCATTTTGTGGTAAGTTGCTGTATCTCTGCACAGAAGGTACAATGATATATGCTTGATTGGAAACAGAATCATAAGCAACCCGGACCCATTCTGGTCAAAACGGTAGCTGGATAAAATTTTTAAAAAAGGGAAAAGTCCCCGTTTGTAATCCTGAAATGAACTGAAAAGGACCACGCTCACTTGGAGGTAAAACGAGGTCCAACCACCCTGAAGTCTTGAAAATGGATTTTTACACTTTTTCCCCAAGAGCTACAGGTTCAAGTCAGAGCTGTAAGAATTTTGTAACATTGCATCTTAGCTGTCTGACCTCCGCCGGAGTCAGCAGCCCTGAATTGCTGGTTGCACATGTCGACCTCTACGGTCTTCTTGAGTAGGTGATCTGTCTCCTCCACACAGGAAGCGAGGTCAAATGAGGTCAGGTCAAAGGATGCACTCTCCTCACACATCTTCTCCTGTTTGAAAAAAATGCCAGTTGAGGGCAGGCCAGATTGATAAAGTAGACCACTTACAAGTCTATCAGTAAATCCTCCCGCTCAGGGAAATTGAAACAGTTGTTGACCCTTATTTTCCTAGATCTTTGAAACCTACCAAGGGGTTTGGAAAGCAATTTCTGGGTTTGAGGAAGGTAGAGTCCAACCACTTACGAGGACTTACGAGATATCCAGAAGGTTCGTCACCAAAGTGCCTTGGGAGATAGGGGTTGAGATATGTGTTCTCATGGGATGCAGAAGGGAACCAATAGGGGGTAGGGCCTGATCTGGAAGGAGGCGGTAGCTACTAATGTACAGTACAAAGATACGACAGTGTTTTACATTTGGCATTGCTTCGTTACAAAAGCTGTTCAACTGCTATTTGTTACAAGGAAAATTACTCCACACCTTATTAGCCAATTAAATTCTTCAGGCTAGAACAAAATGGGGGGGGGGCACTTACAACGTTGTGTGCCTCGTCAAAGATGACGACATTCCCCTGTAGCTCTACGCCGTGGATGCGTCGAGACTTGGAATCCAGAAGGTAGTTGTAAGGCATGAAGATTATGTCAGCGTTGGCCTTTAACTCGCGGGCCATGTAGTAAGGACACACTCTAAGAAAAAGCAAAATGAAACATGGGCACAGGAAATCAGGTTGGTGTCAAAACAAAGATTTGGATTTCTTGTGAAAGATTTTTTCTTGCATGAACGAGTCTCTACTATCATTATGCTCCACTGCTTTTCACTTACTTGTGTTTATTTCCCAGTTTGACAAGATCTTCGATGTCCAAAATATTATCCGTGAACGCCTTATCGGCCTTTTTCTCTAGAAGAACAAAAGTCAGGACAATTCTCCGTGAAATATGTAACTCTGCTTCAAGAATGATGACCACAAATTGTAAAATAAAAAAATGACGTATTTACTCACGGTCCAAATTGTTGTAGAAGTGGCAAGTTCTACTATCAACTTTGGCCCTGCACATGTGAACCTGAGAAGAAAGTAAACAGGCAATGTTTACTCCATTAGAGAGGTTTTCTTTTTCTGTTTTGTTAACTATGCAAAAGACTCTAAATACTGCAAAAAAGCTGAACTAAACCTCCAAATAAAACAGCAACCCAACAAGTTCAAATTCCAACGGTAAAACCAATTTAGAGTGCGGCGTAATAAAAAGTTCACAAAAGAGAAAACAACACTTCATTTGTCAGCTTCCGGCTCATAACCTTACAACTACTTCAGTAATGCTGACTGTGACAGGTACTAAATGGTTTCGACATGGCTCCATTTACTTTGAGGAAAATATGCTGTCAGTGTAACATACAGCACTGTAGTAGCGCCCTCAATCGCTCAGCCACTGGGCCAATGGTACCTTTGTTGAGTTGCTCTCTGCTTTCTGTACATCTGGGTGGATACAAAGCTGCTCTCTGGAGCCAATGACAGCCACTCGCGGCCTGGTTGATGAACAGGTTCAAATGAAACATGGGACATTAACCTATGAACAACCAACAGCTTTCACTCATTAATCCCTGCATGGTTCACCTGACCTATGATACTTGAGGTCAAGGGATAGAGTTATGGCCACTAAGTTTGACTGGTCGATATTTCATTGGCAAATGCTCTACAATCTGCTTGGATTATGTTACAGGTAAGCAGAGGTTCAAAATTTAAGTCAAAGTAGGCAAATCCAATCTAACCCTCTCTTCTGTGCAGTAAAGCCAACATCAAGAAAACTGTCCAATCCAACTTGCTGTTCTCTGTTAGAGCAGGAATGCTGGGCTGGTTTCAGGACAGGACGTAACAAGCCAGCATGACCTGTGAGTTTTGACTGTGGCTGACGGCCAACAGGAGGTTTCAGTAGCAGCATGTGCTAAAGCCTGACCATAGCCAGAATGGTAGAGCCGAAATGGTTGTTTTTTAAGTCTGTACCTGTAAGCTGTATCCTTCAACTGGTCTACTGCCTGTGATAGCTGGGAGTGAGTTCTGGAAGCATAGATGATCCGGGGACGATCCACAAACATGCCTGAAATGCAATAAAAGCCACAAATTAAAATAATACAGATCTGATGAATCACAAACTAGGTTCACAAGTTAGCTTCTACAATGAAGCGACTAAATATGGTAATGTTGGCCAAGTGATCTGTTACACCCACCTTGTTGGCCTTCGTCCCAGGTACCTGCACCTTCCTTCAACTCAGCAGCAAGTTTCTGCCTGAAGCTACCCTGGTCCCCAGCTCGCCAGTCCCCGCTGTCCCCCTGCAGGCATCGGCCCAGCTCTTGCTGGGAGATGTAGGTGTTACGCCAGGCCAGCGCCGAGCACAAGAGGCAGAGAGTCTTGCCTGTACCAGTGGGGCTCTCCAGAATGCCATTCTTGCCCTGAGGGAAGGGGGAAAAATGGAAAAAACAAACGGAAACAAAACAAAGGGAACAACCGTCGTCAACATGTAACAGAAAAACCTCGCAGAATGTATTTTCTCAAAATGTTCATGGAAATTCTGTGTTGCAAGGCATCGCAATACTTAGTCTGCAAAAAAGCGATGTTTTGCCCTGATTATCTGCAAAAACTCAGATATTGGGAAAATCATCCAAACCTATTTTAACTTCTTCATGCTTCTGCCATCTCATCCGCTACAAAATCTACAAAACTTAGATCTGGAATATACATACATACATACAGATGGGAGGACCAACTTACAGATTGCAGGCACTCCACAACCTTGCTCATGTAATCTTGTTGGCAGTCATAAGGTTCAAAAGGGAACTCAATGTTGACACCTTTGCACTTAATCAATGGCATTCTTCTGTTTGATGCAGGCTTTTCTTGCTAGATGTACATGTATGACTTCTGTCTAGATGAAATATGACAAATACCACGATGATGACTAGCCTTTAGCCTACATGGCCTACCAATCATGTTTACATGTACAAACCAAATGGCCTGCAGTTTTTTCAACTATTTTGTTCTGCTTTCTTTTTGAAGCATTCTTGGAGAAAATGTCATAAAATCAATTTGATATAAGTTTGGATTGCATCGGACTCTGCAAAGCAAACAAATATTTATTTGAAGTAGGGACTAGGGTTATTTTCAAATCTTTTGGAACGTTTTTGTAAGCCTAGGCCTACTTGTGTAGTGCAGAGCAAACTAATTTTTGTTTTTTCACACAACTGAGTGTGGTTTTTGACTGAAAAGCTTAAAATTCATATTTTCATAAAATCTTTGTTCTTATTTGTGCTTTATTTTAAGAGTTGAATGCTGGCTTCACGTGAAATTTCAAAAAATTGGAAATTAAATAAAGCCTTAGAGGAGCTGGAGCGTGCAAAAATATTTAAGAAAATGAGTTCCAAATGAACAGTGCCCTCACTCATTAGCAAAAGAAATGAAAGCTTTTAGTTCCCCCCTAGTCATGCTAGTTAAGCTCCTTGATAGAAACTTAGAGAATCTCATTTCTAGATCCAACAGACGAAACTAAAATTTCATTGTTCACGTTTGTAACAAATGTCATTTTGGCCAATTTCGAAACATTGTATGTTCACCCACGACCACAAACGCAAATCATATGGAAATGATAACTACGATTAAAACTACGAACAAAAGCAAAATTGACCGTACAGTGGCCTGTATAGTTTAGGCATAGATATGATCATGGAGAAATTATTCCTCTATGATATGATACTTGATAGACCGCAAACATTATTTTCCGGGCAAGAAAGTTTATTACAAATCTGCAGCTAAATATTCTCAAATGCCCAATACCCCAACCAAAGTTATACTTACCAAACAAAGAAGCGAGAGCAAAATTCCCAAAGAAAGGGCGACGTATTTGTACATGTAGTGGTCACGTTACGTCTGGTCATGTCAGGGTTTTATTTCGTCAATCTCGCTCCTCTCTGAGCTTGTTTTTCGTGCCAGAACATGTTTTCGTTGGTTTCCAGCGCTTGCACCATAATCTAATTAATCAGGACAGCATTTCCAATGTGCTATGCCGCTTACCAGCGCAGCATTCGTTTCCGGTTCTAATTAAGTCGGTAGAGGTCGCTCTTCAACATTTTTATAGAGGAAAGGAGCGCGTACGGTGGACTTGAGAAAGAGGCGGATTTTGTCATAGGACAGTCTATAGCCCAAGCCTCACCTGCCCAAAAATCATACACTGTAAAAACGAATGGCAGTATTTGGCCCAACACGAGATACCATGCGAATCACTTTTAATTCAGACAAAAAAAAAATCATAACGCTGGGTAAAAAGGTGAGCATACATTTTTATTTCTTGAACCGTTAAATAGAATGATACATTCAGTTTGCCCATGGGGAGAATTGAAACATTGAAGGCGGGGTAATCTGCTTGCCCGACAGTTGAACGATTCACCAAGTAAATCAAACAGGGATTACGGGGTGATGAAATTCGGAGATATAATTGGTAAGACAAAGAACATCTGGAAACAGATTTCTGCAGTAAAATTTATTAGTCCGTCATCTATTTTCGAACAATCATGTTTAAAAATGGCTACTTCTGACCTGATAGGAACATTTTCCACAACCATTACACTTATTAAATACCCATCCAATTTTACGCTCCATTAAATAAAATTTCCCTTTACACACATCTAACGTACCATACGATTACTAATTATCTTCTCGATAATAAACTGCACTATTAAAGCGATGATATCAGAATCTTAGTTTGTGGAATGATGCCCAACTTTTATAAAAGTTCTAAACTATGTAATATAAAAATGACAAAATTTTCAAAGCAGATGAATATCAAACACCATCTTTAAAAGGTCTAAGAATTTCAGTCCATCACTTTCCAAAATATACACACTTAAACCATATCTTTTTATTTCCCTAATTCCCTTTACAAGAATATTAAAGTTTCATCAGGCCAGTGATTGCATGGAACACTGATTTATTAATAAATATTAAAACTCTCAAAATGTCTTCAGGAAGCTTTGTGACGGAACCATCTTCGAAAAAAAGAGAACACTTAGAACAAATAAAGCAAGGATTAAACTGATACAAAATTATGCGTAATCAATTCATTATCTCTGCATTGTTTGATAGAGGGGGTAAATTACGATTTATCACGGCTGATGATGATAAGCCTAAGAACTTTTTTGACCCAGTTTGCTGTAAGCTCAATTGACAGTGATACACTTTTGCTTAGAAAAACCTATGGTGTATTGTGTTTAATACTCAGTAGGCCTAATTATGACACGTTCGGATCTGCAGTCCTGGAAATGTTTGACTAGTTGAGCTAAAACAGATGAGCCTTCTGCTAAAGATTTTTAAGTATTTAGCTACAATTAAACATCATGCATGTCAGGGTAGTTAAGGTCCATCCGTAAATGCAGGATTATCTTATTGGGTCATTTTTTTGGCATAAACTCCGCAACTTTGTTCACGATATCGATCTGAAGGGCAAAATTAATTAAGGAAGCCGATACAGGACAGTTTTGTGGGAGTTAAGTATCATCTGTTATGGTCACACAGCCGTGCATATAGAGGGTTTTTGGCATGAACCCTACCAATGTAGTCCACGTATTCGTCTGCAGATCGTAGTATTCCGCGCAACTACGGGACTCCTCGCCGATTTTCCCCCCGAAGACCCAGAGTCTGTCGCCCGCTATGGTGACCCCAGGAAAAGTCCGCTGCTCATTGGACGGCTCGTGAGGACACTCCTCGCTGGTCTCTAGAGAAATTTCTGACACTTCGCGAGGTTTCCGACCGCCTAGGACGAACATCCGCCCGTCTTGCGCCGTCGCTACCCGCAGCGTCTTGCGGGAAAATTCTAAATTGGGCAGAAGCGACCAAACATCTGTGATTGGATCGTAACATTGAATATGTGAGCATGCGCACTCATCCTGTGTAGCTCCGCCAACCACGTACAGTCTGCCATGATGGCCAACCACTGATGGAACGCTGACTGCGATTGGAAGCGGAGCAACCTGTTTCCATTCGTCTGTGAAAGGGTTGTAACACTCGACAGAATCAAGTCTGGTATTTTGAAAGGAGGTTTTACCACCGACGACGTAGAGGCGACCGTTCAGTGAGGCAGAGCCGTGGGAGTGACGTGCGTCCAGGAGGCTAGTTGTCGGCTTCCATCGATTGCGAGAGAAAGAATACCGCCAGACGAGACGAGAAGACTGTTCACACACTGTATCATAGCCACCAGTCACATAAATATCAGAACCTGAATCGACGATAAAAGCCGGAAAAAGAAAATCGTTTAAAGCTAGGTTATTTCTGCAAGAAATGTCGGGTCATTTCCAGGAAGAAAATTCAACCTCCAGCAGAAGTTAAATACGAGAAAAGTCCGCTTACCTAATGCAGCAACACTGTATTTTCTCTTCATGTGGTGTGGCATTCGAGCGAGCGGGTACCATGTGGGATACGAAGACTTGGCAGCGTCGTGTGCATCCATGCAGTACACCTCGTCACTGTAGATGTATTCACCATCGGAAGTTTTCTGGTGGCCTCCAACAAGCACAATGATCTCCGACCTTCGACCGGGGCTCCTGGGTGAGGTTCCCGGGCCTAGCACGCGGTAGCCCCTCTTCATCAACCACTGGCAGCATTTGGCTTCTTTGAGGACCTCAACGCAGTGTCTGGACTTGGGAAGCTGGCCTCCATCACCTCCAGACAATATCTCGTTCAGGATGTCCTCTTCGATGAAAGGAAGACGGATTGATCGCAGAAGCTCTGGACGGAAGAGAGCGCGCTCCTCCAGGTTAGATCTGATCCACCTTGAGACGGCGTCATACACAACCTTCTCAGACCGTACAGCTAGCTCGTCGTGGCGGATGTACGCCACCAATTGGTCGAATCTCAGGTCTAGGAATTCACTTTCTAGCGATACTTCCTCGAAATGTTCCAGAACGAACCTCTCGGCGTCTCTCTGTAGTGGTAAGCATCGGTAAGTCTCAGCAAATCTCGCCAGGCTCAGGCAGTTTCCGGCGCAGATGTTTCGTTGGAGGAACTCGGCGCAGGATCTAGCCACCTGCTCGAACTGGAGGAAGTTGGAAGTGATGTACAATTCCTCTGCGTTCTCCTCCGTGATGATGATGCGGGATTTGTAAGCGAACTCGATCAAGTGACCGACCATCTTGGGGCAAACGTCGTGAAGGGCGATTCTGGTCTCGTAGCTTTCTCTCAAGTCTCCCGTGAACATGGCCCTGAAGTACGGGCTTGCTGCAGCTAGTAGGGCTCGGTGACAGCTAAATTCACGGGAGCCGACGCAAAGAACAATGTCCGTGCATTCTCCTGCCAGTCTCATCTCGTTTAGTATAGACAAGATGTTGCTTGGGAGCAAGGCGTCAAAGAACACGTAGCTTGATTCCTTGTCCCCCGGCGAACCGGACGACGAAGGCGAGGCCGAGCCTCGATTTGGGGAGCCGCATAAACCTCGCACTGTCTCGACGCTGTACGATGATCTCGCGGACGAGATAGAAACCTCTTGCGTGAGATCGAAAGAAGACATCTTGATAAACTAAACACAATGTTTAAGCTGCAAACCAAGAAATAAAAGTACCAGAGTATTAGATATTACAGGTCAAGTTCAGCTGCTAAAATCTCGAATAATTCGGGGCCTCTTTACCACCCAAGTCAACACTAATAAAGGAAAGTAACCTTTAACCTTCCTCCACTTAATAAACCGCATGTCTCATTCCCAATCCGCGCTTGAGCAGACTTGAGTTTAGTAAAAGAGTGAATACGAACGGATTTCGGGGTAATAGTTACATCCGGTTTGACGCAAATCGAGCCTGAACTTGTCCACCGCGTGAAACTGTCTAGACAATCCCCCTTCTCGCTGACACAGATTTACAACGATTTCGGAGCAGTTGTGTGCATGGTTACTTAAGTTCTCCTCTGAACATGACACTGTGTCGATTCGTGTCTTGTCTTGCGGAACATCAACCACATGCAAGGGGAATTACCAGTCATGAACTGGGTTTCAAGCGCCTGCACAAGTTGTAATCTCTTCTAATAATGTTATTCCAAGCGACACCTTTCGAACTATAGCGTAGGCTATTTCGAACATCACCGGGTTCCAACTTCACAGTGTCACAGTTTTACGTTCGTTTCGCTCATAGTATTGATATTTACATGACCCTTTTGTGCTTTGAGCGTTAAATTAAAATATTCTGACAGATGTGCTGGTACAAGGCAGACAGCCATCTGTTTTGTATCATTGATTGACCAATGGGGACACGCGCTGAACAATAAAACATGAACGAATCAACCCATTGACCAATTGGATTGCGCCTCACAGATCATTAACGCTTGCCGTACATGAGGAGAACAAGGGAGGATTATCGACAGAAATATTTATGAATGGAGGGATTTTGCTGGTAAGGCAAAATTTGCAGAGCCTGTAGTGTAATATGAGAACAGAACCTGCAGTCATTGCGACGGGAAGTATATTCACCAAACAATTCACATTACGCATGCACGATGTTCAAAATCAGCAATTCCTCACCAAATCACGCATGAAGCAGTGTCACGTGATTTGGGATTTTGGGGGACAGCCGTAAACATCAACTACGTCGTCAGTTGAAAAGCATTGAAAACAATCAGTGATGAACAAAAGGTCAAAGGAAAAAATGAATGTGCATAGCATTAATAATTTCCCTCTTCAGCGTTTGTTTTTCTTGCTGTTCACCATGACTGATGCTGGTCATAATTTGTTAAGTGAGGCACATGTCGTCATGGTCGTTGGAGCGTCTTTCACGGTTACAGCAAGCCAGGACTTGTTTATCAAATGAATTATTTGACTATGCGAGACCTGCGTATATTGTGCATGCTGATAAAACCCCGTGCCGAGATTGTGCTTAACCCAACGCGCATCCGCATTCAATTTTTATACCCATAAGGGGATAACAGATATAAAAAAAAAATTGGTGCTATCGTAAATACCAAAGCGCATGCGCTTGGGGTTTACCACTCAAAATGATAACGGGTGCATTCTTCATGGGACAATGCACATGAAGGAAGTCATTGGTGTAATAAGGGAGTTGGTAGGATCATTTCTTTTTCTTGAAAAAATTAATGATTCTCAATAGACGAAAATATGTATTGGTTTTGCTTCAATGTTGGCAAACAGGTCGTTTAAAACTGTTCATACATTTTGTGAGTTTCGGTTTTTAGCTAGCTTTTTAAACCTGTCTTTCTAAAATTACTAAAACAGAACGGTAAGCGCACAATTCAGGAAGTGTAATGAAAAAAATAGTCTCAGGTTTCGTACCTGTATTGCGGAAGTTTACCGTGCGATAATCTCGTTTTTGGGGAGGTATATACAGACTGTATCTGCAGTTTTTGTTTGCTGTAATCCTTGATAATTATATATGCCATTAGCAATTTGTGCAGGTAGGTTTTTCACGCCCGCGACTGTTTGTAAGATGGTTGCAGCTTCAGTGTGTAGGGCAAAAATATCCATGGAATGACCGTGTTTAGTTTACGAAGTCCATCGGCGCAGCAGAGCCAAGTGTAATATAACATACAAACAATGAAATAAAATAGACTAATGAAAACAGTTTGATGCTGGCTTTTCTTATTTCTCGACCCTCTTAGAAAGAAGCTTCTAAAAGGGTCATTCCATCCGACTTTGCTCTTATTTGCTCTAACTGATGAGTGTTCGAAATGATGGTACCAGCGTGCCTTCTAAAACAAGACTTGTTCCATCAAAAGGCATGGTTCATGGCCGTCTTTTTATTTCTCAAGTAGTGGATTTCTTCTACGTACTGCCAGCCTCCTCTCCGCCGTATTTGGCACCATATTCCCCGGGGCATCGTAGGGCTAAACTACGGCCGAGCAGTCTGCAATGTATTACGTCGCAATTGTGCACAGGATGCAGGAATTGATTTTTGTATTGAGATTCTGGGCCTGTGACTGACCAAATGGTATAGATTAGGCTCAGTCGGTCTTTAGTTCGACACAGTACCGCAGCAGTGAGGCAAATTAAGACAAAACACCATCACATTTTTTACAATAATATTGTGCACTTAAAATTTAAATTTGACTCATTTGCATTATGTTAATATGAAAACCGCGCAAGAGATCGTAACCTTTAAACAACACGAACAATATTGTTGGTGCAAAAATGTGCGACTGTTACATTGCGAGTCTGTTCGCATTCAAATGAAATATACCAATGCATTTAACTAGTCCATAAAGTATACTTGTACATTATAAAAGCAGACGATACGAAGCAAATATGAGCCAAAAATACAAATATGTTAAATAGGTGCAGACTCACCGTGTGTTGTAAGCTACATCACTACTGGCTGGGGCTGTCAAAAATGTCTCTATTTAATAGACCGCCGGGGTTGTCAGGTGTACTACGTGCACGTCCAAACACAGAAGGCGTCACATGCTACAATCAATGGAAATGCTTCCCCGTGTTGAGACACGGAATTCGAGGGGGGGAAAAGAGCACCGAAACGTGGCGTGTTTTTACACGGCACACGCCTCCTTTAAACCGCTGGAGAGGTGGTCGCGTGTAGGGGCTGAAAATAAAACGCCAAGGCACGCGTGTGGGACATTAATTATTCATCAACCGGAGATCGTGTTCATGACGCGGTGCGTCGATGCGGGCCGGCTTGTGAATGGCGGCCATTACACGGTCTGCGCATACGTCAGTTTTTGTTCCCGAAGCGGCTAATGATTTCATATCTGGATCGGTGACTGTTTCGAGAGGTTGTCGGCAAGGGTCACCTATTATTTGGGCTTGGAACATGAATACGTACTCGGGTGCTCGCGTACCTAGGATTTTATTTGTGGATATAGTGCAGGCCAGAATTTCTGTTAAAATTGCGGTGAATTCTAAATATAGCCTGATGGACGATTTTCAATTCAGAATTGAGCATTTTATCATCTTCTCGCTGTAGGACTAGGAGGTTTAGTGTTGTGTTGTTAAGCAGAAACAAACCAGCTATGTTCAAGAAAATTGTCGAACTGATTTTTTTCCCGTTAATAACCTCTGCCAGAATTTCTCGATCTAACATCGCAATGCAGAGGTCCGTTCAAGGAGGAATTCGTTACAAGGCAAAAATGATAGAAAAGAACAAATCATTTTCACTTCGGGTAACTATAGCATTTTATTCTCAATATTAACCATTCAGCTTCCACTTCAAAGCCAAACCTAGAGCAACAGATCCATTCCACGATTACAGCTGGGTCAACTTGGAAACTGTTTTGCGGTACAAAAATTATGCATTCTAAAAGAACTTCTATCACACTGAAACTGCGGAAGACCCTTATACAAGGCAGTCTACTTTTCTGAGTACCGGATAACATTATGTTTGGAGCAAGGACTTAAGTTCGACGGATGCTGACGTGCAACGCAAAAACCGCTTTGATGTCATAGAACGATCAACCTGATTGGCTGCACATACCTGGTATGATCATCACAAACTGGATCTTATTGGCCATTTAAAGATTTCCACATGGCGCGTTCCATACTACAGCAGACAAGGTAGCCACGTTCTACGTCTGTGAATTTGTAACACAACATACCTCAGAAGGAACACCCAAATCATTCATGCAAATTATGACATCACAAAGAACACACCTGTAAAACGTTTTCAAATGTAGCCACTAATAATGTTCACTTAAATCTTGCTTATTGTAAAACAACACTGTCGTTTTTGAAAGTCACATTGAATAAAATGTGACGTCCTTGATAGAGGTACAACGTGGACATTAAGTAAACTCTTTTGAAGAATTGGAATAAGTTATTGTTACAAAGAAGTTTGTTAATGGACATCTTATCATTCTAATGAACTGTTACAGTACTTTAACCCCCCGGACCATATGCACATGCTTCTTGGATTCAGACTGGTTGGGCTTAAAGGGTTCTTTAATCACAACACAAATTATGCACTCGCGCGACACTGGTTATGACGACATCATTCATTGCGGCAAACTGCTTTTCAAACCGATCGCAAGTTGTCACCATGAGCACATTGGTGCAGAACCTACATGTGCAGTGTACATGTACGTAATGAGGGCTAGGGCAGACAGGCAATGCACGCAGGTGATCAGATAGTCTTTGTTTCAAGACCTGCCGACGAATTGCTATCACAAGAAGCGGCTGTTACACCTCAAAATGGACCGCAGTACCGCAAAAGGCGTCTTGAACCCAAGACTACAGTGATCAACCAGCGCTCGATTTGCATGTTGGTTGAGACAGAAATGCCGCGTCAGTCGAAAAGTGCAGCGATATGCAACATACATGTACATGCTTCTTTAGTTATAACGTATGCTACACTATAAGTAGACCGTTTTATACACATGCGTAAATTAACAAGAATTCATTTCATGCTGGGAAAAAAATGGAGTACTTGTACACAAACATTCAAAGCCAAAATTAAGTACTCTCAACAATATTAACTTCAAGTCAACTTGTGACCCGAAAGGTCTCAAAGTCGGCATAAATTATTTCCAAGTATTTAATCATAAAATCAATCTCTCATGAAATACCAGGGACTCTCAAAAGCGTATTATTCGCTTCTCCAATCGTTGAAACTAAAAAAGCCGATGAAGCATTTTGCAAAAACTGGTTAGGACCTAACCATGAAAATACTTCGCATATCTTTCGTCAGTCAAAACTTGAAGAACTTCTGACTTTCGTCAGTCAAAATGAAGAAAAATTCAGGATAAGCTGCCGACATTCCAATCAGCAAGTAATTTATAATTCTCGTCAGCTTTTTTTCAAACTAAGGACTGGTGTTGAATGTATTCTGTGACGGTTTGAAAAGTGTTTTTTGAGAATGGTGCTTTTAAAAAAAAATCTCTCCACAGCTCCGTATGTGTATATGCAGACGACACTGAAGTCGACACAGGATTTCTGATTGGAGCACTGGCCCTGTGGCTTACTTGACCTTGACTTAAAAGCTTTGGATTCCGGTCATGACCCATCAGAGGTCACAGGGCTTCAGACAAGAACTGTCTCCTCATGAAATTAATCACCATGACAACAAACACTGTAGACCAATTAAGACTGACATTAAGAAAACCAGATCGTTCAAGATTTATATTAACTGCAGAGGCTGATGCTGTAGGAAGAAAAAAAGAAATGAATGCAAGCACAAATTAGTTAGGCCAACTTTAAGAAGAAAGCACTGAGTTTGAGCAATCTTTGCAAGCTTGTGTCAATTCCAAGGAGTAAATACATCCTTTATTCTGCATTTGGAACTCATTGCTGTGACTGAAGCAATAAGGGAAGTCAGATAAACTCCAAGGGAATCTAGACATCGGCATTTTAACAGCTACATTTTACAACTTCTTTATTCTACAAAACAAGTCACACTAGGACAGTCGATCCTGCTTGCGACATTTTTCAACAAACCACATTCGAAGCAATCCTACGAACTTCATCTAATCCTGTACAAACTAGCTGGAACCAGTCAGGTCTAGTTCGTTCTGGCCATGTGTGCTAGGTATTTCCTGAATGTGAACACCATGCACAGCTGTGGAAGCTGAGAATGGCAGCACGTCACAGGATGCTTCGCAGATTGGTGCCTCAGTGTCACATGATCTAAGCATACCAGCGTGCATGGGGTAACATGGAGTCTTACGGCCCTCCAGTATCCTCACTCTCTCCTTTTCAACAATTGAGGGGGCACTTAATGTTAGCACACCAATCTGACCAGAGCCTGAACCGTTTCATCCTCGTTCCCTCGTAGGCACCCAACACACCCTCCTAGGGCCACCAGCTGGCCCAGGGTGTACATGTACATCTTTGCCACACAACTGGTTCAATCCGGTTCAGTCTGGGTTTTGACCTTGAAGGGGCACATGCACCATTCTGCTCACGCCAAGCCAAAAATCCTTGAAATTCTGTTTCTTCGTCAAATTCTCACTCTATGAAATTTCTCAAATGGGCCTGTTAGTTTACACACTAAACAAAAATAAGGATAGTTAAATCGAAAAGAGATCAAGATCACATTAACTACTACTAAAAAAAAACAACAATGCGGCTAATAGAGCTATGAAAGAAGCAGAGAAACAGTGTGAAAGAATGAAAGATGTGAAGAAAGCAAGCATGCTTTAAAGCCAGTGAAACTCAGCGATTGTAATGATGCCCAACTTCAATTCCTCTGAGATAGACAGTCAATGGATGAAAAGACTTCAAATCACACCTTGTCCCTTTAGAATGAATTTGAGAAGGCTAAATGTCAAAAATATGAATAACTTCGATTCTGAGTGAATGAAAACTAATTAATTTTCCCATGAACGAAATAAACACACCCACAAAACTCTCTGAGAACTACAGAATGGACCACTACACTACTAACATTTTGTCTTAGTATTAAATGGGGGAGTCACAACCAAAACCCAGAAACAAAACAAAACAAAACAGGCCATTGCTTTTAATTGAGAGATTTCCCAGTCTTGACGTCGACTCACGCCGAAATCTAGGCTGCCAGAATGTGGCACTTCTCATGCCGACTTTGAGGCCCTCTCGCTGAGGCCCTTCATTTTTGGAACCCTGCTCCTCCTTAACCACGAGCAAGGCGATGCATCACCCAGGCAAGCATCATCACCAGGAGGGAGGGGAGGAGACCAGCAGCAGCGGATGGACGGCTGGAGGGATTACAGTAGAGGACGTCCAAGGCATCTCGATACTCCTGACTCAGGAACTGGTCATAGGTGGTGGGGGTATCATTCAGATACAGTGTTACATCCTTGAAGAGGAGGTCGCGAGCATTCGCACCATAACCTGCCGAGTCAAACATCTTGAACATACCTTGAGGGCTGTTGTCAAATCTGAATTGATCCTGGTTAGAGCAATTAAAAAAACAAAGACAAGAAATTTTCAATGAAGTGAATTTTTCTACATGTGATACCCTTGCCAAGAGCAGATAATATTCAACTGATTGCAAAGAAATTGTGACAGAAATTCATGCTATTTGATGCCTCCAAACAGGTCTCGCTGACGAGATGGCAAGCCAAGTCTATTCATCTCAAGAGTTTTCACCAAATGGAATAACATCCCGTTTCTAGAGTCTGGAGAAAGAAACATCTTACCTGTCCACTCTTCAGCACAGTTTTCATTGCATCTCGCTGTGTAGTGGTCTTACCAACAGCAGTCACAACAGCGTGTGAGGGCAACTTTGCCAGGTTACAATCTCTGTAATCGTCAATGTTCTTCCGGGTGCCATCTGGACACAGCAACTGGTAGTCTTCCTTTCGGACACCAGAGTTCCAGGATTGGTCGCCGTTAACGTTTGAGGGCACAGTGCTGTGCTTGACAAAGGCAACGTCGCCACTGTCTTCAACCAAACACCTATTTGAGAGAAAGGGATGACAGTATATAATGACTCATTTTAGGAAATACGGGCGATTCACAATACAATATGCTGCTAAGTTGTTGCAAAAGAGTAGCCATTTTTTGCCGTGCATTTTAAGAAACAGTCGGCAAATTTCATTGCTGGCTGTGCCGTGCATGGAGAACATTAACCTGTGTCTGTGTGGGCAGGATATCCTGCACTGTTTTCCGAGTCTCAGACAGTGGTTCACAACTCAACAAGATGTAAAGCAAAAACCTGTACATGTACAACTTTAGGTGAATCGGTGAAGGTCAACAGACTCCCCGCATGAAAGAGAGAGGGTGCTTTTGTTACCGAGCATCAACTTCCTGAGGGGGATCACACCCTGGAATGGCACCCAGGATGCATGATCTGAACTGGCTCAAGGTCCTCCCAAAACTATTCAGTGTAGGATGGCATTGCCGTTCATGCGTTGGCCCATGCCTTTCTCTGTCACCACTGAGGGAAGAGACTGTGCTTGTAGCCCATTCCAACCTGAATGCGTGGAAAATGGGGGGGGGCAGGGGAACTCCTTAACAGAGGTTGGGAATCCGCCTACCTGAATGCACCGTCATAACCCACATAGGGCTCGTTATGGTTGGGCTTGCATTTATTTTCGCCTTGGCCTTTACACAGTGCACACAGATTGTCCGGGTTGGTGTTGAAAGGGTTGTTAGATGGCTCCAACACTCCAGGCACACAGCTCTGACTAAAGAACTCACCTACGAAATTGAATAACAACATCCAACATTTAAGCATTGATTTAATAATGCCATGTGATATGTTTACAAAATTCTATCTGTACCTCAAATTCTTAAAATGTTAAATTTAACACCAATGGTGCTTCTATTGGATCACGAGTCCAGCTGTGGTTCCATGAATAACCACAGATATTGTCCTATTTTGATCCTTTGTCCTACATAAGACCCCGCAACTCTTGCTTTGTTGCACCCGCATTGTCATGTATTTGTGTGGGTTATACCAGGGGTAACAATGTGGACAAGCGACACTGGGAGCTGCCATGTTGGAAAAGGTGATTTATTATGCTGACACTGTGTGACATCATCAGTTACATGAATATTCATGGTGTGCATAAGTAATATAGTTCTGATCATGCACAATACATTACACGCATAGTTCCAAAGTGTCTTTACATGTGACAACTTTGCAGAATTTGGATTTGGTTCCCACAGAATGATGTCCGATGCTGGCTGCTCAGTGGCTCGGAGAGCATGGTCAGTGAATTTCATTGTTCTCGTGGCAATAATATGGCTAACTGATGGAACTAAGCCCCTCCATATAAATGGGTGTTGCAAACTCTAGCAGTCCAGTCCTTGGTACGAGCAATGCGAAGCTGACGCGTAAAACACCCGTCGAGTCTGTCCAACATTTTTTGGTTCACGGGCCATGTTTTGCAACCGTCAAGCAATACAGGTTAAACTGTTGCTCTTAAAAGCCTCAAGCGAAGTTAAAAGGAAAGGGGTGACTTCCAGATATTATTGAGCTTTCTGCAAGCATTAAATCCAAGGCTTTCCTACATGAAATGTTCTTATATTATAACTTGTGTGAATCCAAGCCCCTATGGGTACTTGTAGTCTTGCTGTATTGCCATGAAGAACCCCAGTTGTCACTGTAAAAGACTCGATTTCCCCATGAGGAGTTTGGACACAGGCCTGGAAGTCTGTATAGAGAGATTGCAGTGCATTGACCATTTTGTGAGGAATCCTGTTGGCTCCGAGGATGGCAAACATTTTCTTTCTAGTCATGTGAAGGACCACTGCTATCGTCCTATTCTGGTCCTGTGAAAGACTGCCGTCATTGTCCTTTGGAGGACAATTTCTGACATTCTGATCCTGTGCAGGACCACTTTTCCTCAGAAAGACTGTTTCTTTTCCCCCGTTCCACTCCTATATAGATATCAAAAGTGCTAAATTGTTATTCCACTTGTCAAACTGAGGGATGTGAAGTTGAGAAATATTTGTGGACTGGTCTCAATAGTAACTTTTTGCTGGAACTGAGTTTGTGGGACAGTAAAGTTTGGTTTCTATAATAAAATACTTCTGAACAGCGTGGCTGTAAATTGTGCCCTCTGACTGTATGCGGCCAGTTATGGGGAGCAGACAGTGTCCGTGTCTGGCATTTGTGCTTACCGACTGCTTTGGGAATGTCGCATGCATGGCTACTGACGATGTCACCTCGGTTGATCAAGAATCCGATGGGTACTACCCAGCCAGCACTCCTCATGTAGCCAGTGTGACATGACTTCTTTCCCTGATTGAACAGAAAAAGAACAGCAAGCAGTGGTCATCAAGCAGATTCCTTTAAAGCCACAAACTTCCTCAACATCTAAAGAAGGGTGCCTATGAACAAACCTGATGAAGTTTCACCTCAGCGAATACTTGCATTTCAAGAGAGACAATACAATGGAACGTCACTATGATGAGCATGACAGGGCCGGCGGTCGTTCGGTATAGCAATTTCAGTCATGAACACACTGGACATACGCACCTGTTCCGAACTCCGGCCTATACATGTACATTTAGAGGCTACAAAAGCCTCTTTAAACGCAGGCCAGCCCACCCCAAAAATGTTTGAATACTGGTGTGAGGTGTTTGAGACAAAATCTACATGCAAACAAGATAAATTAAGAACAGAAAATTCCTGTATTTTTTATTATATTAATAAATGTTCCTGTTTTCACAACGGGGTAGTCCTTACTGGAAGTAAAATCACCAAATAAAATCAAGTTTCATGGGAGTTTTCACTGAAAAATTGCATGTGACATGTAGGTATAGCTACACTGGTTCCTGTTGGTAAAAAGCACTTTAACGAATGGCCGCGCAGAGTACCAGTCAAATACAGAAACAATGAAGGCACTATAATGTACATGTCCGAAGCTGGCAAGAAAACGTCAGGCAAGCATTTTCGAAAATGATCGAAACAAGCAAAACATTTATCGAAGATTTCTTCGAGTCAAGTAGAGAATGCTAGTGTTTGCACATTTAATTCCTGTTTCGGTGGTTTTTAAAGCTCAAATCTGCCAGCTTTGTAGCCATTACCACGCAAAATCTTCCACACCAGAGTTGCCAGCACTGCATAGCGTATACAAGTGTACTGTACTTGGCAGCCGGTCCAGGTGCCTGCATGCGATGTACATTGCACTAAAGATACGGATCGTGCAACTTGTTGGCCGTTGTTCTTTCGTGAGTGCGATTTTCCCCAACTACGAATTATTTATCATCAGTTCTAAATATGCTTTTATTTACAACAAATTTGTAATGTTCAGTAAAAGTGGTACAAGTGCAAAGAAACTTCAGGAGCCAAGGGGCAATGTTTGGTGCAGCCGAATGCTTGGTATAGCAACCTTCTACTGTAGTCTAGAATGTCAGTTTCAGATCAAACGTTGCCAAGTCGTGTTTTGAATGGCACATGAATGGAGCATCTATGACACGTTCTCCCATTCAGTCAAATGCAGCAACATCATGTCATGCAATGAATTGACAAATTACAGTTACTGCACATGCAGGTCATGTCTACGCTTGCGTACTCTTCTGTCACTTCTTTAGATGTATTGTTTGCAAAAGGCCTTCTTTCGTTGTTTCTTCAAAATGGCAGCTTACTAAAGAGATCAAACAGTAAGCTTTTCAACAATAACTCCACCAGTTTAGTTTGGGTCAACTACAAATGATGGACTGCACCTTTACAGGAATGATATAATTTGCTCCTATGGAGATAAACAGATATAAATGCCTCCAGGAGAAACAACTTAGGTTCTTCAGTAATTCGTGTCCTTAACTGGAGCCTTGTAGTAACCATACCTTTTCCATCATTTTCAAGGACTCCTGTGAATATCACAAGCCATTGTACAGATTATTTTTAAGTCTTTGACCAGTTCCATCTAACAGTTCCGTGATTTCAAAATCAAAAGTGTTTTTGGCACTTTTCGGGGGGGGGGGATGTGATAAAGGTATCTTGTGTTGGGCATTCGTACCTTCAGGTCGTTAATGGTGAAGCTGGAGGATCTCTTCACCACAGCAACGCCCCAGTATCTGGCAGTGGGATCACCCGTGCCGTAGTCTTCGGCCAAGATGGGTGCCACACGACCCTCTCGTCCATGTTCATACAGCTCTCCCCCATCCAGAGACACCAAATCTGCTTCGTCACCTGCTCACAAAAAGGGGGGAGGGGGGCAGATAACATAGTCACTTCATCAAGATGTATTTTTGTGTTGGGGAGATGTTAATTATATACAACGGGTTTGCCCTTACCCACTGTATGCTCAGTGCTTGTCCGCAAGCTCTCGGACAAGCACTGAGCATACAGTGCTCATAAATATACGTTGGGTAAGGGCAAACCCGTTGTATATAATTGTCACTTCAGTTTACAGTTGCTGTCTGACTTTACACGAGTGCCTTGTGTTGAAAATTATTGGAGAATCTTTCCAACGTAATGCATGACCCAGACACAGATCATATGTAACAGGAAAACACCACACCGCTGTGGATCAATGCTTGTTGGAAGGATAATGTCATTCAACTTGGACGTCAGGACAAATTACGTAGGAGATTCTAAAATTGACTGGAGTCTGGAAAATATGTTTGGTGTGTAGTAGAAGTAAGAGAAAGTACAGACTTCATGATTGGGAACTGAACCCGTATGTTACAGACATTTACGAAAATATGTCTGTGAAATTTCAATTTAATCTGTCCAAGGGTTTTGTTAGGGTCATTTACAGATCAAGGCCTCATACATATCAGCCCACATGCGTTGAACTCGTCAAAAGGAAAAGTGAACCATTTTGACTTGACCCGATTCAGAAAATTGGACATGTCAAGAGAATGTTATATATCAAATTTTCATGCAACTGGAGTCAAAAAGATTGTAAAACATGGCACAGAAGAAAAAAAATAACAGCAAAAATGTTAGACTCAGCAAAATTCCAAACTCTTTTTATAGAACTATCAAAACTTCATGGCATGGCCCAGGTAAAGCAACAAAGACAACGAAAGTTTAGAAATCAAACCTGCAATGTCCACAGCACAGGCATCTGCTGAGTAGGACTCATAGCAAGAAATATTGGGCGTGATACCAGCACCACTGAAGGCTGCTTTCATGGCGCGACACTTGCTCTTCTCCTGTGCAGATATGGCGCACCAACGCAGGGTGCCGTCAGGGCACTTATCAAGACCTGCAAATTGAGGATTAATAACTCGACTTTGACTGGTCATCACTGATTGATTATAAATTTGATACTGATTGACACTGATCTTGAGATTAAGATCAACTGAGATTAACTGACTGAGTAACTGATTTTCAAACTGATAAAAAAGGATTTTCCATTTTTTCAATTCTGCTCTGATTCAGGTTTCAGATCTCCTTCCCCTGAATCAAATCCTAGAGTGGAACACTGCTCTTTTCTATCCTACAAGAAAATAAGTTTGTTCGACGTTAAGCACCTTTGGAGGAAACTCTTTTCATTCTGACTGGAAATGTCCTGAAATTAAGTAGTGAGCTTAAGATAAAACAAAGCCAATGGATATCCAAAGGAAAATGGGAGGTACCTACAGATGCATTTTGGGCATTGCAACAAAAACCCCTTTGCAGTTTCTCAATGAAAAAAGTTTAAAAGCTGAAATTTGTATCCACACAATACTTTGGTTTGATCCCGCCTGCTAGTCAATCTCAGAACACCAGATCAAGTTGAAAGGGTACTTTCTTGGAGAAACACAGAATAGAAAAAATTGTCTGGTAGCTTTGCAAGGCTTCAAACAAAAATACAGCTTTGTGGCAACCTGTTTTAAAAACCTGGTGTCCAGTTACAGTTTAAGTGAACCCACAAAAAAACTTGTCCATCACACCTTTCAGAGTCGCCAGGTAGTCTGCTCCTAGGAATGCATCGTATTCCTTGGTTACATCTGCCAACATCTGGGTGGAGTCCTTGAAGAGCAGGTTGGAAGCCCCGTAGAGACTGGAGTCAAACATGGAGAAGCCATTGGTATTGGTATCTGGCCCAAACAGCTCCTATGGGAGGAAGTAGCAACAGGAGAGGCTGGTTATTTGTAAATATTTCTGGCTAGGGCATTGCCATGAATTTTTTTTGTTAGGGGGGAGGGACAAAGCACTTTTTTCCTGGCATGGTGGGGGGGGAATTCCTGGGGGAGGGGGAAGGAACTTATCAACAATGAATCAATAAACCAAAGGGATCAGTTTGAGGGGTTTTGAGCAATTTGGTGATATTCATCCCCTTTTCTCTGTTTTCCCCTCCTTTTTTAATCTATCAATACTTTCTCCGGGGCGGGGGGAATCGCTCCCCCCCACACACACCCACGCATACCTGTTTTACATACAAAGTGTGGACATTCCTTTGTTCTCCTGTGGTTAAGGAAACTTGAGGACAATGCTCCTTTTTCTCCAATTAGGATGACTCCTTTGAGCTGGATTGTTGATGATGAGTTCCTGGACTGTTCCTCTTCATTTTGCCACCGATAACCTTGACCCAAAAATGCTTCTGAAACTGTTTTTCAGAGAGGGGAAAACATTGTGTGGACGTGCGCGAGTCCACACTACGCCATCGCATCCTAAATTATGCGGACATATTTTGTGCAGAGGTCCACCCTATGTATCCACGCCTGCACACCCACACAAAAGGTCCTTGAAACGACAGAAAACTGTCACTATTAAATCTTCTTGTACCTGAGCTTGCCCAAGAACGGCGCGGAAATCCTGCAGCACAGCCGAGTCAAAATTCTTGGAGGCCATAACGGCGTGAGATGGTACCTGTATGGGATAAACATATGAACAATGACTGACAGTTGACTCTGAAAACACATGCACAAGAGTGGCTGTGGGCATTCGTGCATATTTGTGCTGTTAACCCACAGGAGGCTTTTTAATTTAACAATAAAAAAGATCTTCAAGGGATTTTTAAAAAACTATTCTGAAATCAGGAAAATCCTAATGAAAATATCGTGAAATCAGGTAAAATCCTGACAAATCTTACCCATGTTTAGCCAACAACTACCTATCCAACTGTTTCCAACCAAGTAAGACATTTAAACGTGAAGGCTGGAAGTTGGAGGCCTCAATTTTTAACAACTTACAAAAGCAAGATTGCAGCTTTCATGCTGTCCAACCTCAGCTCTCGTGTTGTCTTTGCAGAGGACCTGGAAATCTTGAGAACGCAAGCTGACAGCCCAATCTGCTTGGTTGTTCCCATCTGTGTTCTCTGTGATGGTCACAGGCTTGATGAATGCAACGTCCCCGCCCCCAACTGCCATGCACCTTTAGACAGAGAGGGACAAGACAGAGAGAGACCTCATTTACAAGTCGGTCATATTGAACTGAAAACAAGTAGAACATTTTTTTATTTTGGGAAACTGAGAATGAAAATCAAAGCAACCAATTATAGTTCAGTACAAATCTATTTCACTTACAGAGATGAATAATTTAAAATTTGTCATCTGCAATAGCTACCTGTTTTAAGCAACATTTAAGAAAAAATGAAAATAAGGGAAGGAACTCAAAGCAGTCTGGTACTGCCCTATTTGAAAGATTACACTGTACATTGAATAAGACAGATTCAGGGAACATGATCAAAATGTCTTCCTTGTGCATAATGTCAATTAGAAAGTGACAAACACACAGAAGACCTCGTTTTCCATGTAAGCGACTGGTTCCTGTCAAAGCTGAGCTACTGTAATTTAAGTGGAACCACTCTCGAGAAATTGCTCCAGTTTTTCCAGTTTGTGTTCCAACTTCAAAATCCCAATTCTGTTTTTTGTTGCCACACTCTGCACTTGTTGAGGAGAATGGCGGCAGGTAGCCAACGCTTTAAATAATGCCAAAATCGGTCGCAAATGCGACCACATTTTTGCCAGTGCAATCATATTTTCACCAAACAGTTGCCATGTGCAACTTGTGCACTGTACATGTACAGTAAACGTATATCCCGTTCACAGGCACAATCTGCATGGGCTACTCATATGAGTCAATGTTGATTGGTTCCCGATCTAAACAAACATTGTTGATGCACTGTATACGGACACCAGGGACATTTTACAAACCACAGCTTGGACTCCATTTTTTGCTGCTTTTTTGCAACGTAAATGAAGCCTGAAACAGAGCTCATTCTGGAATTAAAGGGTGTTGCTGTGACAAAGAGTGTCGGAAATAGTGCGATTCATTTAGCAGGGTGTCCTGTTACACGCTTAAACTACGGACGTCATAACGTCTGTGGCTGAAGCCCTTGGCAAGAACCCTGATTTCCTGAATTGACCTCATTGGCGCCCATGTACGTACATATGCATGTTGTGTGGTGTACGTGTCGGGCCGGGTCATGCTTCTACCGTTATGGACGATGTAAACATGGGTGCATGAATTTATACTACATGTGTATACGTACGTTCATGAATATTCAGTGCACATGGCGATTTAGTGGCAGAGTTCTTGAACTTACAATGTTTATTATTACATAGGTTGTACATAGTTTTACAGTAGACTAAGATCAAAAATTACTGCGGCATTTTTTGCTGGTGACAATATATTTTTCACTTTAGGGGCCAATTGATTACTAAACTTTAATAAAAGTACTGGTGCCTAGATTTTTCCCCATTAGGAGCCAATGGCTACCGAATTCATTTTTTCTGTTTCAAGGGTTGCAGGTAGGTCTTACCTGAACGCCCCACCATAATTGTAGAAGGGTTCGTTGGAGTTGCGGGGACACTTGATGGGCGTTGTGGTTTGGCACAAGGCACACAGACTCTCTGGATTGTTCCCGTCAGGGTTATATTCAGAGGACAAAGCACCTGGTGACAAGAAGGCACGAAGACGTCATTTCACACCCAGCAAAATCAAAGCTGGGCCACTGAGGAAATTTTTTTTGTCTGGAATAGAAATTTGATACTGTTTTCAAACTTCCATTAACATTCATTCCCAGAGCTCCTTGAGATAAAAATGTTCACACATTCAATATTCAGTAAATGTTACACATCTAGAACTCACACCAGAATATCAAACCCTTTTTTTCCTTCAACTGATCTTCAATAATTACTATAGTGTTAGCAAATCCACCTAACAAATCTAAATTCTGTAACTTCCAGGAAGTTCAGAAACTGCACGGCTCCAATTTTTTTCTTTTATGGAATTCTACACGCACGAATTTGCCAAGGACAAAGTTTGAGCTATCGCAACAATGCTGGTACTTTGGACCCAGTACCAATGCAGTAATTCAAGTCCCCTGGCAAGCTTGTTGAAAAGAACATGCAGACAACACAACTTCAAGCCTATTCAGTGAGTCCCTGAACCTGCTGACCCCAAAAACATGTCGACAACAACTTCGGCACACATCACGTCCCAACCTGATCAACAATACGCTGATCTTGATCTGGGGACAATAGCCCAAGCACAGCTTTTCATACAAATAACCAGTATCTCAGGGTTCTAGTTGGATGCATGCATGTGATTACTGAAATGCAGGGTGTTGGCTGAGGGTCCCTGACCCCATCCCCAAGTCAACAACTACTACGAAGTACATGTATTGCTCTATTTAAAAAGTTGTAAATGTTTGTTTCTTTTTTAACGCAAAAACATGTATAATGCAGAATTCATAATCCGTTAGTCCAAGTTTGCTCACATCAATGTTACATTTGTCTTTTGTGGGCAACGGTTTGGCTAATCTTGTCTTGGTTTGGACATTCAATCTCGTCTCACTCTACAGGCCATGATCTCAGACAGAGACCAGAAAATAACCACCAACATGACCAAGCTATCACATACTGCATTGATGTTATTTAAATTTTTCTGGGACATGTTTGAGCAATACAAAGTGGGTGTATTTGTAGGTTTATGAGGTGGATTTTTGGCTTGAGGTGGTTAACACCTCTACAGATAGGATACTTGTAAAGTTAGACCAAAATGAAAACATTCTCATAAGATTTTTGAAACATTTGGAAATGAGGCTCTCCAAGTTTGGTGCAAGAATGCCCCTTTTAATAATGTAAAAAAAAATAAAGGAAAGAAAGGAATACCTGGGGCACAACTTTCACTGAAAAAGGCACCGGTAGAGCGAATGTCATCTTGGCAATCCGTTGGGATCATGTAACCTGCCTCCAGAAGGTAACCAACGGGAACGTTCCAGCCGGCCGTCTTCCTAACCCCGGTATGGCAGGACTTCTTCCCTTGGAGGTCTCTCAAGCCAAACCCTGTGTTGTTTTTCTTCACCACAGCAATGGCATAGTAGCCCATGTCGTCTGCTCATGGAAAAATGAAATGATGGAACAAAAGACGGGAACGGCCTTAGTCTCCAGCCTGGTTACTCTGTAAGGCCTACTTTCAGGAGCCAAAAAGATATGCTACTGTAGACCCGTGCCCACCAATTTACAGTCATTTGCAAAAGTTGAGGACCACACATACAAAATGCATTTACATGTACCTGCAAAAAACCCAAACATAAGCCAATTCATCATGGCAACTCAGGTTTACTTACTGTGTGTAACCTAGTATCATGGTTAAACAGCTATTTGACGACATTTCCAGGATTGGAAATGTCGTCTAAAATTTAGTGTGCTCTCCAGCATTTCAGATGACTTAAACTGGCTTTTTTTAACACTCATGCTGCATTGCAGACAAAATGTCATACTAGGCCTGCCTTTGCAGAAAAGTTCATTCAAATGGGCTCACAGCACTATCCAGATGTTATGGACCACTGTAAAAAACATGTTATGTAATCAATAAGACAATGTAAGGCAGGCCCAGTGACAGAAATACCAACAAAATTCCAGGTGGTCTTAAACTTTTGCAAATGACTGTAAAGTGACATACATTCTGTGTAGGAACACCTTGAATACCAGGCTGCAAGGATGTGTTTTCAAACCTAACTTGTATGCCGCAACAATGTGACAAGGACTTATTACTGAAAGGTCAAAGGTCAATTCGCAATCCAACTGCAATCCATAGTGGCAACAATAAGGATTGCTGCACTGGCAGGAACATGCGCCAACAAGCTTTGACAAAGTTGATCAGCACTACTCAGCTGTGCCGATGCAAAAACTGATATCGGTCTATGTAGCAAACTTGCTTACAGTCTCAAAGGCCGGTGTTGCTCTATACATGTGTCTTTGTTCAGTATGACCATTTAATGTAAATCCTGATATCAAACTTAGCAGATAATAGTAAGCACATGGTACATTTTGTTTTGCTGAGAAGTGCATGTTTTTCGGAAGGAAGCCGTAGAGCAACTCGTGCATGGTCCATAACAGAAAGCTCAGGCGTAGGTGAGTTCCGTTGTTCACTCTGACTTACTGCCTGCGTAGACTTCTTGCATGATGGGTATCATGTTGAACTCCTTTCCTGCAACATAGACGTCCCCGCCATCCAGGGTGATCAAGTCAGCCTGGTTGGTGCTGATAAGCCGCATGCAGTGCTACAATAAGGAAAAAGGACAGGGCGACATACATGTACAGGTATAGCAGGGGTGTGAGTGGCCATCACATACAAAAAAGCTGAAAACAGCTGGCAACAAGCTGAAATCTAAAGAATCTGCTGGTCGGCAAAATATTGGGATGTTTGATCGAACTGAAGGTCGAATATTCGAATAGGGAATTATTCAAATTGACTCTTAAAACTTAAAACATACAAACCAGTACGTGTACGTGGGAGTAGGTTATATAATGCATTTAGCCATTGGGTAAAGTGGCTGATAATTAATAAGTACATGTATGGAATTATTTAACCAGGGTAACCTCAAGAGTTGTCAAGGAACTCTTTGACGGTCCCAGCCAAGGGGGATGCAAGCTTATCTTGAGAGTATAAGGGACCAGTGGGATGGATGTTGGCCAATCTTTGTTTGTTTACCATGGCGCTTTCCCCGGCAACACAGTTCAGAGTCTTCAAGTTATTGCTGGCAAATGCGTTCTTCATTGCCAGGCACTTTTCCTCTTCGTGGCTGGAGGTGGTGCACCAACGCATTTCAGTCACTGCAAAGAGAAGGCGTCAGCAGGTTATGAGGATTGTGTTTTAAGTCTCTTTACCTGATTCTGTCGGTTTAACCTCGAACATTCTTCTGAGGTGTTTCTCCCACCTCTAAAACTATCTGCTTCTCACTGTCTGCTCTCTCCAGGTTTCTTTAGGCCTGTGAGTGACAGTGCCTACATGTTCACGCATTAGGGCACTTTTGAGGAATCCTTGGTTTCATAACCAGAAATAATTAATACTAAAAATCAAAACATGACCCATTATTTCAAGACCACGCTGAAGACCATGTTTCATTCTTTAGAAAAACACAAAAAACCTAAACTTTCTAAGGGGTATGAATACTTTTGTTGGTAACTGTACATGTATTTGGAGCAATATTTCCAGACAATTTGGGCAAATCATGTGGAAAGAAGTTTTGACTCTCTGTGACTGTTGCAGCAAAAGGTGTGTTAAATTTCATCAACTTAAAGTACAATTGAAAAAAAAAGGCCTTGTTTACAACGTCCCCCAGAAAAAAAAAAACAGTGTGGTGAGAGTGCTGAAAGTCATTTACTGCAAGCAGTATCCAAGTTTCACTGTCAGACTGTGAAAACCCGAAAAGACAAATGTTGGGCTTGGCACCCATTCAAACTAAGTCCAGTTCTCCAGGGATACGGGGGCAAAGGGTAGATGGGGGGGGGGGCAAAGGGTAGATGGGGGGGCCAATAATGACAGAGCGGGGTCACGGGAGGTGGGGAAAAAAGAATCGAATGGTGTTTGCAATGCATGCAAAAGGATGTACTGATATACACTGGCGGAAGGGGAGGCAGGGAGGCCAATGGGGGGCCGACTTGGGGGGCCTGCCCCCTCCCACACTTTTGGCAGGTGCTATAATTGGGTGGAACATACTGGATCACCCTACTAATGGCTGATGCCTGATAGTCTAACAACTGCCCCCTCCCCCCACTTTGAAAATCGTTCCACCGGCGGTGCTAAAGTGCCTTTTGGTTTGAACGGCGGTCTACATTTACTACATGCACTGGATTCTATTCTGCCAGATAAAAAAAAAGTTGAAATCTGTTTTTACAGGATTTACAGTCATAAATAGACTGAGCACAGCAAAAAGCCTGCATTACAGAAGAGTGCCTCAACTTTGTTCAAGTACTGGCGAACAAGGCTGACATTGCCCTGAATATGGTACATAGGTACAAATCCACTGGGAACAAAACACGACCCTGGGGGACCCTCGGTCTTGACTCTGTGTGTTAGGCTCAAAATTAAGCTTAACCTTCAAGTTTCAGTTGTGCAAACATATTGTACTGATTTCCCCAGCACAATGGGTTTCCAGACACTGGAAAATTCTGGATCCAGCAAAATGGGCAGACGGATCCCAAAGGAGTCAGGGGTCAAACACACACAGTTCAGTGGATGTTTGAAGAGTTGAGTCAATGGGGTGAAAAAAGATCTACAGTGAGGCTCGACAATATTATCACTACACAGCCAGATATCAACTGTTCATTTCTATCCAGCAACGCAGAGCAAACTTTTGTCCTGAAAATCTTATCGATAATCTCTCTTCAATGCCTAAGAAAGGCCAATGTAAAAATAAATCCAACTGTTTAATTTAACACCCCGTTGCATAATGCAAGCTTTTAGATTTGGAGACTTATGCCTTTCCCATCAGTTGGATTCAATTCCTACAATTTATAAGTTTTGAACTTTCAGGGAGGAGAGGGACCTTGGGAAATACTTTTCAAGGCGTTGACAAGTTTTTCCAATTTCAGTTTAATCATACTAACTACATGTACATGGCTTTTGCTACGAATGGTTAAACAGGTATGTTTCTGTGAGGTTAGGACGGGTTTAGGAGGATTATGAGAAGATGAAGTCCGAGCGTGCCCTCTCAAAGTAACATAAACATCATTATGCTCTGAAGACGGTATTTATTCTCCTTCTCAAACTACTGGTATCAAACATTCCGCAGAGACACTTTAAGGTTTGCCTACATTACGGTAGATAACCCCACTTGGCACATACCACGGGCACGTCCTACTGATCCTGTGCATTGCGCAATGTCTGCTTCACAAAGAAGATCACTGAGCAATAACAGGAAAGGTGCGGCTTGAATGCACGTACCCTGGGGGGGGGGAAAGGACTGGGACTGAACATTTTGTGGTTTCAACAACGCAAGATGTGTACACATGTATAATAGTATATGTGAATCCTGTACAGCAAATGAATTCCGTTCCAAAGTTCTGTTTGTGATTGTATTGTATATTGAAACTACTCGTTCACGAAATGTCATGTACACGTACAAAACTTTACTGGAATTTTTTTTTCACCAAACCCTGCTTGAATGTTGAAATAGAATTTGCTTGTATCTATTTTTCTCTTTAATTTAGGATTTTATCAAGGAAGTCCATCAGTTATCAAGTAATGTTCTCTCTGTGGGTTGTGTTTAGAAAAAAAACAGGAACACATGACTAATATTGGCACTGAACTAAATATTGTTGGTTTCAAGGTCCCTGGAGCCAATTCAACAGCATTACAAGTCCTCCACTCCGCTGTCAATATTTCCTTAAATTCTGATTTGGTTTCCTCAACAAGATGCCTCTGCATCGTGTTCTCCTTCTGGGTCAGTCTATAAATTTGGGGTCCAATTCTTTCCTGTTCCTGCTACACGCGACGTCTGACGTGGTCTTTTATGTTGAGAACTCACAATTTCCAAGATTGAAAATGTAATGCAAATTAACCTTCCACACTAATAAAAAAGTTAGAAATCAATTTCAGTGATACACGTACATGTACAAGTATACATGTATATATCCCTTGTCAAAGTACATGTATACATTGCCATGGGTACCGGATGGAAAAATGTCACACGTCAGACCCCAAATTTAGCATGGCCCCTCTTTACAATAAATAAAACAAAAGTGGCGTAAATTGGCATGTAGTACAGGACTGAGGAACCTGATAATGTAACTGGTGGGTACCGGGGTGTGGGTACCCATGATTATTATTAAAATTATAAGAGAAACGTAGTTTCCACTGTATCTCCATACCCACTCTACAGCCACGGGGCACGGCTCCAGTACTGTACTGGCACACTTACTTTCTCTGCATTTGGCAACTACCCGGAAAATTAATTGCAAAAGTCTATTTTGCAACTTAAACTAGATTCTTTTTCATTCCTGAAGAGACTGGGTGAATAAAATAGGAAGGTTTATCAACAAATTGGAAATGGGTACCATAAGCAGCCATCAGGTTACAGGTAGGCCTACCCCACGCAGCCCACATATTTGCCTTCGCCACTCCCGGTGCTGTGACCTCAGAACAGAGAAACTTAATATACAGTTAACCTTGGATTAGGCTTGGCTGAATAGAAAGAAACTGGGCTTGGTTGCACAGGCCTTTACAAGTGAGGTCATTTAAACTGTCCATGGGGAAAGCCCCTTCATTTCACCCTGGCCAATGTTTACCCAGACAGGTCTAGAAGATCTTACGATTCTGGGATCCGGTGCCTCAGGAACCCTGCTTCACCATAAAAGGCTATCAAGGCCTTTAGCAGGGCAGATTTCCAAGGTTACAGCTTCTGATTGTTATAGACTGAACTGTGTCACACCATGGTCACGTAAATAACTCACATGTACATATACGTCACAGAGCAAAGACCCATTCACCAGGCTACGGGTACATTTGAAAACAACATAACTATACATTGTATGTGGCCAACAGAAAGTCTTCCATGTATTTTTATGATAAGAGACATACAGGGTGGGCTGTATGTAATCAATCCTTAAAACTATGCGGACTTGGACCTGATCTGAACCAGCCAGAGACTAGTAAAAGATTAACAAAAGGCTTGAGGAACAAATGAACCATTATACCGGTAACTGCCCTGCTTATTGTATTCTGGACGGTACAATACCATGCGGCCCATTGTGTCACATTTACAAAGCAAACGTTTCTTATCGCTTCCTCTTAGAGTAGAATTACTGGTGTCCTGTACAATTCCCCCAGGCAATTTCAAAGCTGTTCTGTGTACCTACACATTTGAATGGCTCTACTTCAAATCAATCATTTAAATCTCATCTTCTTACATAAAATGTTTGCCCCAACAAGCTCTTTTGGCAAAGAAATTTGGGGACCAAGATTGATGAAGCCAAACTCTGGGTTTTCTGCTTCATTGAATATTCATCCGCATCACAAAATTCACAGCACTCTCATGTTTGTGCCACGCATTGACATATACCAGTATGACTAAGCTCTTTTAATGAAGATTCCATTCAGCTCGTCTTTCGTTACCCACGTCTACACTGTACATTGCTTCCTCTTCTCCCACAAAAGTTGAAGGTTCCGCAGACATGCTCATTTCAGCAGATGTGGGTCAAAGATAACATGCATTATTGTCATTATTGTCCCAGTGGTTGTTAAACAAAAAACAAGTACAATACATGTAGTTGGAAGTTAATTTCAATGATGTAAACTTTTCATATCAAATTACATGTTGGATGAAAAAGGGACACCAAAGTGTCCCAATTAAATTCTTGAATGACCCCAAAACAACTGGTAATTTGGCCAAAGCTTTTTTCCCTTATCATAAAATCAAATCTGTGACATTACAGCCTCCTTGGCCTAATCCTACAGTTACCTTGGCTCGTAGCATGGTGAAGGCAGAGTACCAGCAAGACTGTAGTCAGGAAGATTGGTGCTTGAGCCATCCTGGTTGTGGTGATTTCCTGTCACAACGCTCAACTCGTGACGAGAGAGAAACTTGCCACTCTGGTCCCCAGAAACTTCAGGCAAAACTTTGCTGACAAAGGAAAGTTGGAACAATGACTTACATGCTGTTTGTTTCCCAAATGTGGATGTGACATACATGTTCCTGTTAAGTAACATCTGAGGTAAATGTCCAGCAAGTGCTGATTCACCATGACGACGGAAATGACAAAATGATCTACTGCATTATACCGTTTGATTAAGTCATTCATGTAATCTAAACACTTTTTGGTACGATACAGAAATATATACTCCGAGCAAGATCAAATTTCCGAAGACGGAGAAGTGCGAGGTACAGTCAACTTCTGTTCCTTTATTGAACTGAAATTTAAGACCTAGGGCAGTTCAGGACACCTGATCTTGTTTTGTATAGGATTACAAGCTATTGGCTTTGAAACTCTTTAATAGCTTTGAGATTCTAATGTAGTCTGTGGGTCAATCAAATATGTATGGTCAACTGAAACAGATGCCAATGAACTCATTGATTACTGAGAGATTTCTTTTTCAGACTTTTGGTTTGGTTACAAATACAACATTTTGTCCGAGTAGTTAAATCAAACCTGAGAAAAGAGAACTTTCTCACGCACAAAAAGATTCTCATTGAAATGTTTTTAAAAGCCAGATACAGTATGCATGAAGGGCTTGGACTGGAAGACCCAAAACAGGACGACTTAATTTGTGGTACGCCACATATCTTGGCAGTTTGCCAAGGACTTCGCTTTGCTCGCTTGGTTGGGAGCCAGAATTTCAGCTTTTGTGAACTTTTTCAATTCAGCAGTGCAATGTACACACTGCTAACTTGCATGTGTTTGGATAGTCTAGTGAATAGTTTTCTTTCAGGGAATGTCTTGGGCAAGTACATGAACCTGTATGTGGGATAAGAAAATGGAAACAAACACGTCTGAAAAAGAATCCAAACATTTTCATTTTCAATGTGAGCTCAAACAAAATAGCATCTGTGAGAACTTTCCTTATTCACCAGAATATGTAGGTACTGTTCATTGCGCAAGCACGACTTTTGGGCCTTGAAAAATTAACCGTATCTATGAAATTGGGTTAAGCATTGTTCAGCCCCTGAATTCCATAGAAATATGCTTTGAAAGGAGGGTTCCTGACAATCTTTCTGATATCACGCCAGTTCTTGGCACTTTAAAGGTACCATGTAATGCATTTTCTCCATTTTTCTGAAAAGGAACTTTATTAACCTTGCTGCAAACGGTTTTGATTTCTAGTCTAAAGTATATTGCGGAGTCATTTTTGCTTTTAGGCTAATGAGTAACTCCATATTTATGAGCAATGCTGTGATGTCATCCTTAGAAGTACATGTATATGTACATGTTATCCTCTGTGTTACACTGATTTGTGCAAAAAACATGGTCTTTTTCTTTGATGATCAAATATGGGCATGGGAAATGGTAAGACATGTTGGCAATGGACACATTTTGTTTAAAGAAATTCAGCAGAAAACTATAAGCTCAACAGTGTCTTCCTCAAGTGACATAACATCAACAGCGCCCTCGGTTATCCAGAAAACACAGGCAACTCTAAATGTGAAAAATAGCACTTTCCGATACGCCTTTAATTTAGGCAAAAGGGACGTGGGATATGAAATGGTTTTCATACAGCGAAGACAAGCTTACAGCTGCACAATGAGAATACAACGAAAATCATTGTTAGGACTGAAAAGTTCAAAGATGCTTCTGACCCAAACATTTCTCAACACAATCATTTAGCCATGCTTCAGTGTCTCTGCGGTATTCACAGGTTAGTTCCATTGAAAGATGAACTACTGGTAACTTTAACCTGCCAGCAACCTTTTACGTACTTTGTATGCAGTGACAATATCACCTTGTATGATGGCTGCTACAGATAAATTGGCAGCTTTTGTGAGGTCCGTCAGGGCCACGATTCTGCCAAATAATTAGTTTGAACAGTTGTGGTCTTTACCAGGCATACATGCGCATACCAGCAAAAACCAGGAAAGGACAGTATCCAATCTACTGACATCTAATTGGGCCACTTACTTGTCCTTAAGTCTCAAGAATGAAATAAATTTCCCACTGCACTCATGTAGGCAAATTTATGGCAGGATGTATGAAATAGTTTGAGAAATGCAAAACATTTACATGTATTTCCTGTTCCCCGACCAATAAAGTGGTTTCCTTCCTTCCATGCCCAATCAAACATGTTTTCACTACCCGACCTTAAAGTTTATTTGGGAAAAATGATGAGAAAACATGATAATGAAAATTGGAGTTTGACTGTGGTGCGAAAAGGTTGAATAAATTTATTGTTGCAGGCAACTAGTAGATCTACTCCAAGTATTGTTACTTTCCTTCAATTAAAACAGATACCATTCAGTGCTTGTATAAATGTACTCTTTTCCTGTGTTTAAGTTGCCCACTGAATCAATTTGACATAAAAAGAAAAGAAAAAGAAAAGAATCCTTCCTATCTGGATTGTTCTATAAATTCAGGGTCCAAAAGCGTGACATTTTTGTGTCCCTGTTACACCCGACCTGTTGAATTTGACATGGAAATATCACCGGAATTAATTTCAAACTATTTCTGTTTGTATGGCTGTACACTCCTCCTGAGGAGATGAGATGGTATGAAATGTTTAATTGGCCCAGTGAGCATCATATGCCTGTATTGTGCAGAGTTTACCCCTTCCCCTTGTATAAATCCTTTGTTTTCTAAGTAAACGACTCGGTTTTTCCCTCATTATAAATTGAGGTTTTCTGGACATGTGTTTGCTTTCTGATCACTACATGAACATGTAAAAAGTCACTGTAGGGAATAATTACTGGCATCCTTATATAGAACTGTTTCCCCTGGGAGTGCGGGGGAGGGACATCAAACCCCACAGTTCTGGAAGTAACAGATAAACAGGTGCAAACAGGTGTAAGGCCAATTATGGAGCTATCCATGGATCAATTAAACTACACATGAAGCTGTTTGGACATGGCTATCTTAGAATTCCTCCCCTTTCAGCGCCATCACAATACACCCAATAACACCTGTTACCCACCAACATTCATATGGGGATTCTCTCCAATAAACTGTCTATCTCTAGACACAAAGTCCAAAGATAGCTACTGTTCACACACTAATAGACCCTTCTACTAATAAATTCTAAGTTACTGTATGCGCCCATGCCCACAAATGGCATGTGGAGGCAAAAAGCTTGAGTGGCCAATTGAGAATATAAAGGGCACAAATTTCAATGTCAGTTTCTCTTAGCTTACGGCATTTTTTACGAAGGTGAAAAAGTGCAGAAGATGAGAGAAAATGACGTTGGATTTTGTGCCCCTCTGCATGTCCATTTTCAGTCAATGGGCTGCTCAAGCTTTTTGCCTCCACAGGCAATTTATGCGCATACGCACATAAATTCTAGAATTTATTAGAACTTTTCGACGACCATTGCCATTACAACAATCCTGAATATTCAACTTTCAAGGCATGCTGACGTCATGGTCTGAAAAAATGAAGTGTTAGTGTTATTGTTAAGCCTGAAAGATTCCTCAACTCAAGTCTGCATAACGTCAATACATGATCTAGAACTAGCAGGCCTAGTACTAGCCTAGTAGACTTTCCAACTTGGCGTACTTGTGTGCGTGTACTACAACAGCCATACACCATGTATTGAAAACGGCACTGAACTCAACACCTGTACATCAAAGGGATCTCACAGTTATTTCAGTTTGGCTAGCTTGAACTTGTTGAATAAACGAAGGCAGCCACAACACGTACCCCTAAACAGAACCCGTGACGTGCGACGCCTGCCCCGCCATCCCACGAACGAGCGCAGCGAGGCGGGGATCGGACTCCACGGCTCTAGTTCTGGGGGTGACAAACCGTGCACTTTTCACCCAACAACATTCCATCTGCTAACTTTACAGGGGAAACCTGCTTTTTCCTTTCCAATCAACTTTATCGAAGGAATTCTTACCTCCAAACAGCCAAACGCGAGATCGAGGTACCTCGGGGAGAGCCGTGCAACGTGGTTGTACCGGAGTCTTCCGAATTCAGACAAGTTATAAGCAACTGGCTTGGACGATCGCAGGCCCACGCTATGCTAATTGCGCCGTGAGCACGTGGCCAGGTACGGTGGAAAAGCGCTCGGATCGCATGGCATGTATGATTAGCCTTTCGTCAAGGCCCTCGTAGCTGTGCTTGTTAACTGCAAAGCCACTGAGCCCTTGTGCATGTGGTCTCCGGTCCAGTCGCTTTGTAGTTATACACGCACAAACACCCACACAGGCACGAAAGCCTTGATGAAAGGCTAATGCATGATGGACTGCCTAATTATAGGGTGGGCGCTCGTTTCAAAAGGCGCAAGTTTAAAAGTTTTGGCACGCCATTGATAAAATCCCCCAAATCAGATCAGCGTATAATACCGAAATATCTTTATTGGAAAAAATACATAACTAGCCTTAGTCAGTCTTCAAAATACTTCCTCCAAGACTTGTGTAGTTTTCGAGAAAACGTAAATTTTACCTTTTTATTTCACGATATTGTAGGCCGATGATCGTGCAATTGTTCATTTCACTTTGCTATACCCAGCAAGAAATGAGACC